AGAAACATCATGTATCTTAGTAGTTGTTTTACAAGATTTATCAAGGGTACAAAGTATTTAAAAAAAATTAATAAATTTAAAGTTGGTGTAGTGTTCGACCGGCCGAATTTCGCAAACGCATTCTTAGATAACTTCACATTTCTTAAGGAGCAAAATTTAAAAGCCACCATCCCCGCAGCGAGTACAGAATTAACTGGAGTTATTAATTCCGTCCCAATTGATATGTCAAATAAAAAAATTTTCAAGGCTATTTCTAGCTCCAAAAAAATTATCTGCGTAAGACGCATAATGCGTAAATCCAAAATCGACAACAAACTCCAATTGGTTCCGACTCAGTCTGTTGCAATTACTTTTGCAACATCCACTTCTTTGCCAGACCATGTTTTAATAAAAATGTGGCGAATCCCGGTTCGACCATACATTCCACCTATCAAGCAATGTTTTAAATGTCTAAGATTTGGGCATCTTGCCAAATATTGCCATAACAATCAGAGGTGTTCCATCTGCTCGTTAGATCATTGCTACAAAGACTGTTCCACACCAACTGATAAAGCTGTCTGTGTCCACTGTTCAGGAAATCATATTTCAATTTCAGCACAATGCCCTATTAAAAGGAAAAAAATACAGGAAAACCAAAATAAGTATAGCCAAACTGCATTCTCAAATTTATTCAACAATAATGTACAATTTCCGAGATTAAATAAAGTTGAGGATAGTCAGAAATTAATAAATATGATTTTGTCTAATGAGCAAGCACTTAGCTTACTAACAGAAACCCTAACTAAAATAATAACATTAAATAAAACTGAGAATATTAAAATAAATTCACAAAACATAACTAATTATTTAAAAGAAACTGTACAGCATAAAAATAAAAATCCTTCAAATTCACTCAACACTTAAATATATTACAGTGGAATGCGCAAAGTTTGTTAAGCAATCAACAGGAATTTAAAAAGTTTCTTTATGATAATTTTATACACATAGCATTAATATCTGAAACATGGCTAAGACCCCATCACAAATTTGCTATAAAAGATTATCATGTTTTAAGGAATGATTGTGGTAATGATCACAATGGAGTAGCTATAATTATTCACCAAAGTTTAATTCATAAAAAAATTGACACATGTTATGATGACTCAATACAAAACATTGCTGTGCAACTACTAATTAACAACAAAGCTATTACATTTGTTAGCTTTTATAGCCCCAAGAATTGTACCCCAAGGTTAGAAAAAAATAAATTAGATAATTTATTGCAGTCTCTCCCAAAACCATTGATATTAGCTGGTGATTTCAATGCACTACATACATCCTGGGGATGTAGCCGTTCAGATGCTCGTGGCAAAGATATTGTAGAAATAATAGATCAAAATAATTTAATTCTTCTAAACGACTCTCAACCCACAACAGTTGGGTCAGACATTTGGAGACCTAATGCGCTTGATTTGACAATGGTGTCTGCATCATTAGCTCTCAATTGTGTTTGGCAGGTTTTTTCTTCTCCCTTAGGCAGTTACCATCTCCCCACCCTAACAAAATATTATGTAGATTCTGTTTCACATTCTTCATTGGATTTTTCCAACATCCCTTCTCACGCCAATCTGAAATTAGTGGATTGGAAATTATATCAAAATCACTCCAATAAAATGCTATCAGAGTTTGTAATAAATAATTTAGATCCTATTTCAAGCTATAACAACTTTTGCAATATTATTTTGGAATGCGTAAACAAATCAATTGCTTATAAAACAAAATCGACAGTTCAACATACTTGTAACAACAACATTGATTGTTTTTATCACAAGAATGTTATAAATAACAAAAAAAAACAAATTTAAAAAAAAGAAAGCCTTTGGTATGGTGGAATGATAAATGTTCAAAAGCCGTAGACACATGTAAGCAAGCATATATACAATTTAAATCAAATCCTACTAAAGAAAATTTTATCAACTTCAAACGCAACCAAGCTTTAAAAAAAAGAACTTTAAAATATGAGCAAAGGCTCTCCTGGTTAAATTTTTCTTCTTCCATTTCAAGACTTACTCCTATGACTTATATCTGGACTAAATTGCGAAAATTCCATACAAAATACGCAAGATCCGAGTCTATGAATGACGAATCAGTTCACAATTTCCTATGTAAATATACACCAGATACAGTTAATAACAGGCGAATTTCTCAAACTTCTATTATTGCCCATCCCAAGTACTGCTTTCTAGTCAATGATTTCACAATAGTTGAACTTAAAGCTGCTTTAAAATCCCGCAAAGATACAGCTACTGGCTTAGACTGGATTTCTTATAAAATGTTAAAATTATTAAATACGTCAAACCTATTGAAATTGTTAGAATTAATAAATACACTTTGGTCTTCATCTATAATCCCTGAGCAATGGAAAACCGACTGTATTATTCCTATTCTGAAGCCTGGAAAAGATGCCACTATTGTAGATTCCTTTCGACCAATTACACTATCATCCTGCTTTGGTAAAATCATTGAACAATTAATAAAACAAAGGTTGGAATTTTACATAGAAAATAATAGCATCTTACCATCTAATCAGTTTGGTTTTCGGCGTGGATGTTCTGCTAGGGAAAGTCTTAGTCATTTTTGTTTGGATATCCATAATACTTTTTCACAAAATCTTTATCTCGTGTCTGTTTTCTTTGATGTTGTTGGTGCCTTTAACAATGTTAATTTGAATACACTCTCTTCTATTTTAAAAAACTTACAATTTCCAGAGAAATTAGTAAATTGGATATTTAATTTTCTTCATGGCAGGAAATTGTTTGTGAAGCATAACAATTAACTTTATGGACCAAGATACTCTTATAAAGGTGTTTCTCAAGGTGGAATTTTGAGTCCTCTTCTTTACATTTTATATATTTATAAAATGAACTTAATACTTGGCATTCATGTTCAAAATCTCCAATTTGCAGATGATCTGGTTGTATATTGTTCTGGTAATAGTATCCCAACTGTGGTTTCAAAGCTTAACACATCATTGCAGGCGTTGTATCAATATTATGATAGTCTTGATTTATGTATTAGCCCTGAAAAAAGTAAAGTTGTCATCTTTTCAAAAAAATCCATTCAATCATCAAATATACATATTTTTTATAACAGGAAAGTCTTGCCATTTGTAAATAGTGTTAGATTTTTAGGTGTGTTATTTCAAAGTAATTATAAATTTAACAATTATGTTGATTGCTTAATAAACCGAGCATTAAAAGCTGCTAATATACTTAAGGCATTAACAGGAGTATACTGGGGTGCTGATCCTAAAATACTTTTATCACTATACAAGTCACTGGTAAGAAGTCATTTTGAGTATGGTTTTCTTTGTTTCGCAAACTCGCAGAACTTAGTGGATAAGCTGGAAAAAATTCAAAACCAATGCTTACGAATAATTACAGGCGCAATGTGTTCAACACCTATAATTTCAATGCAGATAGAATGCAATGTTCCTCCATTGTCACTTTGTTTCAAATATCTAGCTACCAGATTTATTCTAAAAATGTCTTCCAGTAAAAGTAATCTCCTTATAAAGAAATTAAAAGATCAATCAACACTAACAAACAGATCACATTCTTTGTTCTTACTAAAATATTTATCTGTAATCAAAGATCTTCAGACCCAAAATAACATGTATTCTTCCTCTATCTGGCCTTGTTATCAAAATGAATATGATTCAAAATTTTGTAATCTGAAAGTTTGTATAGATCCTTCGCTGAAATTTAAAGAGGATGTTTATAATTCAATAAATGTGTGGAGAGAATATCATCATGTCTATACAGATGGGGCCAAGAACTCCAACTCTGTATCTTCATCTATTTATGATAACTTCTTAAAAAAAGGTATTGGTGTCAGGCTTCCTAACAATGCTAGCATTTTTACAGCAGAGTGTCATGCTTTGTCCATGAGTCTTGATTATATTCAAAAACAAAACAATAACTTAAAATGGCTTATCATATCTGACAGTATGAGTGCACTAAAAGCATTAGAAAACCCTAGATTTTCTACGTCATCTAATTATATTCTTTATAATATACGCGAGAAATACTATCAATTGAAATTAAAACATTTTGATATAATTTTTGTTTGGACCCCATCACATATAGGCGTTAAGGGCAATGAGGACGCAGATTATTTAGCAAGAACTATTGTTAACAGTCCCATTTCACTTCCAATTACAAACATTCCTCTTCCTGATTCTGATATTCTGATACCGGTAAAAAGAGATTTAGTTAGAGAATTTCAACTCCTTTGGCAAGAGATTACTCAAAATAAAGGAAAATGGTACTCGGATATAAACAAAAAAATTTCCAGACCATGGTTTGCTAGGAGCTCCTCCTATTTCGGACGAAAATATTACACTATCATCTGTCGTTTGAGATTCGGTCACTGTCGCTTCAACTCCCATTTAAATAGAATAAACCTTTTACCCTCGCCAGTCTGTAATTTTTGTAACGTTAACCAAGATCAAACACTTCACCACATATTTTTTGATTGTGCTTACTTTAATATCCAAAGATTAACGTTTATAAATTCCCTATTAGAAATCTATAAAAACCCTGATGCAATCCCGCGCTCCATTCAAACTTTATTAAGTAATCTAGGATGCTTTAAACCTATTTACAATTTTATTGTTTCATCCATTGGTGATATTTGAACTGCACCCTTAGCTCCCCAATTCATATAATAAAATAACTCACTGCCAGCTGAAAAAAAAAAAAAAAGAAGCAGTCAGAAAAAAAAGAAACAAAGAATAAGCAACAACTATGGTTACTCAATGCTTGAAGAAAAGAAGATGTCTTAGATTTGTTGAAATTGTTGAAGATAGTCGAAGAAACCAAAAGTTATAAGTTAATTTAATAGAGAATTATAACCTCTGATGACAATGGCTGTATGGGCTTAGATCCCCTTGCCTTCCCTGAGCAGGGAAAAACAAACCAAAAAAAAAAGTCTGTGGTATAGTTGTGTATCTTCCCAATCGCGTTCACAACATTAAAATCATAGAGAAAAGTATTATACTGGAGAATTAAAATTAATACATTATTAATTTGTATTCTGTGAAAACTTTGATTTTTTAGTAGAATTTATTAAAGTAAAGTAAATAGTTAAATCACATTCATATTTATTATCTTTGTAGTGATCACCGGTTGTTTTTGTAGGAATCTAACAGTGTTTTTATTAATATTTTAGGAGGTTACTCTGCAAACAATCTTTTTGGTTTACTTATCTCCTAATTCTCAAATGATGCAAGTAAAGGTAATGTATGATAAAGTTATTTTAATACATGGTTATTTTTTGAGGGTTTCATAAATAAATTTTTGTTTATTTATACTTCATTCCAATTGTAGGAAAATAATATAGATGCTGGACGATACACCACTAATTCAAAATCTATTGAATTTGGACCTTGGCATATATCATATGATGTAAGTTGTATCTTGCCAAGTGTTTGTTCTACAAAGGTTGTGTGTGAAAGGGATGATGACCAGTTTTGTCAGTTTTGTATGTAAGTATTGAGTGTGAAGTAGAAGTATGTTATTGCTGCTTTAATAGAAATTATTAATTCTTAATCATTGGTCTTATGATTTTAGATACTGCAAAGAACTGGAAATTCCTCATTTCCCAGATATGGTGTTCCCGAAGAATATATTGACATTAAACTATGGAACTAGTGCTAAAATATCCTTCGAACCTTTGCATGCTTTGAAACGTGTGGCTAACACTGTGAGAGCTATAGAGGTATCATGTTCTGAAGCCTGGCTTGAGGCTCGGTAAGTAATAGAACAGAAGTAGAACATTAATAATGTTTTTAAAAATTAAAGAATATTGTAACTTCAATAATCATATTGTGTCATTTTGCAGTCCTGATGCTGCAAGGAAAAAGAAGACATTTGATTGGACTTTTTCTACTGATTATAAAGGAACTTTGTCTGAAAATATAGTTGTAGAGCCAACTGAAGAAACAATTAATTTTGATGTTCTGAAACAGAAAGACCAAATACTCTTTTATCATGATTTAACATTGTTTGAGGACGAACTACATGACCATGGGATATCTAAATTGTCTGTCAAGATTGTGAGTACTGAGATAAATAATTAATTTAATTTAAATAAGAAATTGTCCATCTGGATCCTAAATAGTAGTTAAAGTTAAATTTTCTTTTTGCAAATCAAATGTGTTAACTAATAAGTAATTGATAATTTTTCTTCATTTTAAAGCTATGGAAATAAAAAGGGAGAAAATTAAACAAAATAAAATTTTGTTATATCATTTACAAAATATTTTGCTAGAGTGTCAGTACAAAAAGTGTTTCATCTAAATCATACTTTGCAAATAGTTTGTTAAAATAATTGGAGTAGCTTATAAACCAAAGCAATACATTGTTCACTTGACTTACAATAGCAATAGAGCATCAAAAATTATAAGAAAGACCATACACATGTCTTATGGGATTGTCAGGGGATCCGAGGCCCAAGCATGAACGTTGACAGCTCTGTAATTGTATCATCATCATTCAAATTTTGTAAGGAAGGAGCCAGTTTGTTCTTACATCCTGTAGGTCTATTGACTTTCATAGAAACTTTGATGATGCAATACTATTACAGATCTATCAAAATTTGTGCTTGGGCCTGGGTATGCAAGACATAAATATAAAAACATCTGTATAATTGTCACTTCCATAAGTCAAACCTTGATCGCTATGGATTGTTGGCTGGAATGGCACACTTATCTTTGTGTCTGAACTATCATTAGATGGGTGGGATTATTTGCTGTATCCTCAATAAAGAAGGGTGGAGGAAATTATAAGTGCATACATAAGAGTATAATATTTTCCCTATAATTTCCAATTTGAAACAAATAGTTATTGTATCTGCTTATGTTCTAAAGTCTTAATTTTTTAAACAATCATAGAATTTACATTTAGCATCATTATAAGATCACATTTTAGATTTAGCACAATGTTTTTCTCTATGTTCATAATTGTTTTTTATAAAATAATTCAATCATTAATTGTTTACAGAGAGTAATGCCTTCCTACTGGTACCTATTGCTGAGATACTTTTTGAGGGTTGATGATGTATTAGTAAGATCCAATGAAACAAGGATGTTCCATATGCTTAACACTGATTATGTGCTCAGAGAGTATACTGCAAAAGAATCGCAAGCAAAAGATTTACATGTAAGTTAATACAATTACAATCTATCTATCACACAAAACAATATTTTAATGGTCACTATTGGACCTAATCTAGGATATTTCCTAGCAAAAAATATCATTATGAAATCAACATTTTTTTTAAATAAAATGATAATTGTAAACTGCTCTCTAAGAGATTACTTATGGTATATATGTAGGTACTTAATTGTTATATTTTTGAATTCAGAGAATGTATAACAATAAATAGTTTATTCATTTATATTTTTATATACCTATTCCAGATGCCAACAAGTCAAATGAAAGAAGCAGATGATGTTATTCCATTCCTTGCAGTTAAAGAAAAAGTTACAGAAAAAATAGTATTTAAGGAGCCTAATTTATAGAACCTATGATCTCAATTACAATGTAAAATATAAAGATGTAGCAATAAATTATTATAAACGGATCTAGGTAATTTCATTAATCAATTTTATTAATTGAAATTCACTCATACTGTGTAAGTATTGTTTGCTATGTTCAACCAGCGATATTAAATACCCTAGATACAACACGTGAGCTCAAAATGAGTCCCAATCAAGAAATGCTTGAAAGCTATTCAAGCACTACTTGGTTCACAGCCACGCGCGGACCGTTGAAAGGTCAAGTTGCCGCGGAGCTCCGTGAAAAAATGCGAAAAAAATATTTATAGTATGAGAAGTGTCGTTTTTTCGTCAGGTATCTAATCAACGTTAGTTAATTCAACGCATTTGAAGCAAATTTTGTTCTAATACTTACTATAAACTGATTTAATAGAAACATATATGTCATATTCAAATGCATGGTCGGTTATACAGCCATCTTTTTTTCTCGCGGTCCGTACCTGCTGTATTGCTAACAGCGCATTCAAAATTGCGTGTAAAATCAAAGAAACAAGGTCTATATTGCTCCCCATACAGCAATAAGTCGTAAAATTTTACGAACTTGCATTTGAAACTGTCACAACTCTTTGACGCTTGCGTTTTAATTAAGACCTTATACGGTAGGCATTAAAGGTGACTTTCCATGTTTAAATAATGCTTTATATTGTTTTTGACAACGCGATCATCTTACGGAACTGCGTGGCTCGTCCAATATACCTTTTGGACAGGTTTCGGGCACGATTTTGTTCGTGTTGGTGTATCTAGGGTATTTAATATCGTTGTGTTCAACTGACAATGTGAAGAAATAGGGCTGCATTGCAGCCTCAGAAACTATGAGAAATTAAACATGTAGCATAGTGGTCAGTGCATTAACCCAATAGGATAAGGTGTTGATTCGATTATTGCCAGGTACAGTCAACAAAGTCATGGCTGGACTACCATTAAGATTTCCCTTTGTATGACCGATTCTTTGACCAAGCGGTCCCCTAGCCCTTTTATTCTTGTTCACAAATCACAATCCATTGCACTAAAATTAATAATAGAAGTAAGTATCCCTTTAGTAAGTACTTGCTAAAGTCATCAAATTGGGTACACAAAAGGCAACCAATTAGTAAAATAGGTCCTATCGTTTGTTATTGGTCAAACAAACACGAGGCAGGACTACCGAAAGTCATCTAGTACAATAAAAACGGTTTAAAACTAATGAGGCGATGACTTTGTTGATTGAGTACCTGGTTAAAGTTCATATTTCTAGAACATATTAGATTTAAAAATATACAATTGCATTATTATTATAAACAAATTAAATTAATATTAGTTATAAAAAATGTATAAGTGCTTTTTAGGTTTTTTCATTGAAATGTTTAGCGATAAACCAATATTTAATTTTATTATCCTCGAGATATTTTTACTAGTGAATCCGATAGAAGATGTCTTGCACAATAAAAATAATGAAAGAATATCCTAAAACTAGACTGTTAGACCTATGAAGTAGATTTCTAAGATAAAGTGTCTTAAATTTTATAATTTTTTGATAACTTTCTTATATTTCCGTACCTTCTTCAAAGTATAAGGAAAGGAGATTGCTCAAATTGGCCAAAAGGCACAAAAAATATTGACATACACGGTAATTCTTGGCGTAATTTATAATTTAATTTACAGTCATTAGATTTCAACGGACACCTTTATTTAATATATTTACTTTAAAAAGGCCTTTTAATTTATCGGTTTGGAAAACATCCGAATCATTTTTAATGGCTATGGGTGTAGTAACATTCAGCCAAAGACTGATCGAAGTTGTTTATATAACATAAAAACAAATATTTTTTGTAAAGATCGATAAAATTAATCATTTTTTTATTACACTGTGGTATTAAAATCCACAACTATATTATCATGTTCACTACATACAAATGTGCTCAGACAATTATTTTATATAGTAGGCGACATCATAAAGTCTATTGCCATACATTTTTCGCCAAACGCCTTCATAAACACATTATGATTTGTTTAGACTTTCAGGTATCTATCTATGGGCCTACGTTGCCTGACTATAAATAAATAAAATTATAAGGTGTGATACACTAAAAATCTAAAATATGGTTATATTAAAAACATAACAAAAATAATCATGCTACTGAATATATGGCTATATAACCTAAATCTCTTAGCTTTCTTTGGTTAGCGAGAGTTTAAAAATTCTCTCTAATCTGTGACTCATTCACAATCCTCACAGTTTCTGTCACAGAGTACCTTATTATATATAACACAATATGATATTTAATTTAATACAACAGTGTTTTATGTAATATTAAATAAATTACTTACTGTCTATGTGTTCTGTTTAATTACCGTAAATTACATATTTTTATTTATATATTTTATAAATGCAATTTGATATTGAATAAAAAAATGTAATCTCGACTAACTTTTAATTGTAAAAACTCGATTCTACCCATCACTATTTATTTGGGACAAAAAACTTGCAACATTGGAAATGTCATTTTACTGACTGGAATTAAAATCGTACTTTAACGGTTTTTTTTCGGCGGGAACCTTCGAAGAGGAAAGGCGCGCTTTGAAGATTTTTTTTGCATTAATTTTAATTTTCTCTTTTTTTTGTGTATTCTTGTATAGTTTTATGTAAATAGTGTTTCAATTCAAATATAGGTATATAGAAGTTAAATGGCGAGTACGAAAAAGCGGAAAAAAGACTTTGGGGGTGGCGATGATAGTCGTCGTTCTTCGGACGATGAGTCTGAGACCTCTCAGAAATTCAAGATCTTTAAAGTAACTGGGTATCAAAGGAAATATCCTGAAAATGCAGATAAAACAGAGTTTGTTGTGTTTTTGTCTCACAAAACTTACGATACACCATTTACGGACAAAGACAGAATAAAAATTTCAAAAGCCATCCGAACACATTGCGTGTCCGGTGTTTTACATTTAAGGCCGGTTAATCGGTATAAAGTCGGCATAACGTTCGATCTTTCGAACAATGCCAATGTTTTTTTACAAAATGCTAAACTTTTGGAAGAGTTGGACGTAGTGGCCACCATTCCAGCAAAGGACACTGAAGTAACCGGTGTGCTAAAATCTGTCCCTACCGAATTGTCAAATAAAAACATTTTCTCTTTGATAGGTAGCTCCAAAAACATTATACAAGTCCGGCGGTTCATGCGGCGTGTGCGGGGGGATGCTGGTGCAGTCTCGTACCAGCCCACGCAAACAGTCGCAGTAACGTTTGCCTCTACTCAGTTGCCAGAATACGTATATCTAGACCATTGGAGACACGAGGTCAGTCCATACGTTCCACCTGTTAAGCAGTGCCTACGTTGCATGCGTTTCGGTCACATTGCTAAGTTTTGTCGCAATAATGAAGTCTGTTCAATTTGTTCGACAAATCATAATTATAAATCTTGTACTGTTGATATAGAAAATGCAAAGTGCACTAACTGTGGAGGTAATCACGTAGCCATCTCATCCTCTTGTCCAATTAAAAAGCAACAGATCGAAGACAACAAAATTAAAAGTAGAGCTGTGCAGTATTCAGAACTGTTTAATGAAAAATCATTTCCCAAACTTGCCGAAAAATCGATAGAAACACATTTAAATAATTTATCAAAATCAGACTTATTTATGAATTTATTAGTAGAAACAATAATGAATATAGTATCTAATAAGAATGTACCTATAAATAGTAATACTATAAAAGAAAATTTACATAATACATTCAGAAAAATACCTTCCAAAAATAAAAATGGCTAACTTAAATATTGTACAATGGAATGCTCAGAGTTTAGTAAGCAGTAGGCTCATATTTACAAATTTTCTTTATGAACACAACATTCATTTAGCATTAATATCAGAAACTTGGCTAAGACCGAATCAACAATTCAAAATAAAAGGTTACAACATAGAAAGAAATGATTCTGATAATATACATAATGGAGTTGCAATATTAATTCGCAATAACATTGTTTATACTAAAATCAATACAAATTTTGATAATACTTTGCAAAATATTTGTATTCGTATTACAATAAGAAATAAAGATATATCAATTGTTAGCTTTTACAGTCCTCCAAATACTAATCCTGCCTTTAGTAAAAGCAAATTAGATTCTCTTATAAAATCTATCCCTGGTCCGATGATTTTTGCAGGTGATTTTAATGGTCATCACTCTTCTTGGGGCTGTAATTCCACAAATCCTCGTGGTCGAGATATTCTGGATATCATTGATGAAAATAACTTGATTCTTCTTAATGATGGGCAACCAACCACAGTTGGCTCTTTAACTTGGCGGCCCAATGCTCTAGATTTGACCATAGTTAGTCCTTCTTTGGCTTTATCTTGTGAATGGTCTGTTCATGATGATCCTCTCGGCAGTTATCATCTACCTGTAAAAACAAATATTAGTCTCAATGTCAACAACCAACAAGATTGTAATAACAATAATGTCATGGATGATAAGGTCACTTTTCCAATATTCAAAAATTTTAAACTGGTTGATTGGAAAATGTATCAATGTAAAGTTGAAAGTCTTTTATCTGAGTTTTGTGTTCAATCATACACCCCATTGGAGGCTTATACACTATTTTGTGAAATTCTTTATTCAGCCACAGAGTCTTTAACCCCTACCAAATTAAAATCCAACTCTACCAACAGAAAAACTGGCAAAAGACTCTCATTACCTTGGTGGAATAATAATTGTTCAGTTGCTGTGAGTAATTCTAAACAAGCATATATTACATTTAAAAATAATCCATCAGAAACAACCTATTTGGAATTTAAAAGGTTGCAAGCTTTAAAAAAACTCACCCTTAAAACTGAAAGATCAAAAAGCTGGGCTGATTTGTGTAGTTCATTCAATCGTTGTACCCCTCTTACTGTAATCTGGAAATATATGCGTAAATTCAATAAATCTTTTATTTTAAGTCATCCAGACTGTGACAGCTGGGTTTTACCTTTTCTTAAGAAATATACTCCTGATTATGTACCTACTCATCAGGACTGTTCCTACAATAGATCTCAATCAAATTCCACCAACCTCTTTTTAATAAAACCATTTACAATAACAGAATTGAAAAACGCAGTCTCCTCCAGAAGAGAAAGTGCATTTGGATTGGATGGTATCCCTTATAAAATGTTGAAAACTCTTAGTGATTCTAGTTTGCAGATATTTTTGAAGGTTTTAAATCATCTTTGGGAAAACAATGACATACCACCTTGTTGGAAAATAGATTGCTTGGTTCCTATTTTAAAGCCTAATAAGCCTAAATTGGATAAAGATTCTTATCGCCCTATTGCACTAACTTCATGTGTAGGAAAAATTTTTGAACAACTACTAAAGCAAAGATTGGAGTTCTATGTGGAAAAAAATGGCATTTTACCTTCGAATCAGTTTGGATTTAGAAGAGGTCGCTCATCTCGTGAAAGTATCTGCCAATTACAACTTGACATCCAAAATTGTCTAGTAAAAAATCAAACTATGGTGTCTGTATTCTTTGATGTTGCGGGAGCTTTTAACAGTGTCAATGTTGATGTGCTTTCTAATGAGTTAACTTCAGTGGGTATACCACCAAAACTTGTTCATTGGGTCCAAAAGTTCTTGTCTGAAAGAAAAGTTTTTGTTAAGAATAATGGTTACCTATATGGCCCACGGTTGGCTTCTGTTGGTGTCTGTCAGGGAGGAATTTTATCTCCTCTTGTTTTTATATTATATATCCGACGTCTCAACTTAATTCTGGGTGGACATGTAAAAAATTTACAGTTTGCTGATGACTTGGTAGTATATGCTTCCGATCATAAAATTACAAATTTAGTAAATAAAATTAATAGTGCCTTATTTAATCTTAATCAATATTTTACATACTTAAATCTTGATATTAACCCATTAAAATCAAAACTGCTTGTATTTGGGAAAAATAGATCTTTGATGCCTACTGTTTACTATAACAATGTTGCTATTCCAGTTTCATTAGACACAAAGTTTTTGGGTGTTTTAATAACTCACAACTTATCTTGGAAAAAATATATTGAACACATAACAACTAGGGCTAACAAAGCTTTAAACATATTAAAATCTTTAGTTTCTACATATTGGGGAGCTGATCCTAAGATCTTGTTGTTACTGTATAAGTCTTTGATTCGCAGCCATTTTGAGTATGCTTTTTTTTGTTTTGCTCATGACAACAAAATTGTAGATATCCTAGACAAAATTCAAAATAAAAGTATGCGTTTGATAACTGGTGCTTTCAAAAGCACTCCCATTAATGTTATGCAAATTGAGTGTAATCTTTCTCCCATTTCAATAAGATTTAGTTACTTAAAGGAAAGATTCCTTTTGAAGCTATTCTCAATAAACAATAATCAACTTTTAAAAAATATTTCATATTTATCACAATCACTGGCAGGTAGGCCTTTGTATATCATGCAAGGATTTCCTCAGTTCACTCAGTTTCTCGAAAATTCCAACATTTATAAGCCTTCAATCTTACCATGCTATGAAGGGCATTTTGAGAGCAAATTTCCATCAATTGACATAAATATCTACAAGGAGCTTTCTACTAAAGAGGAGGTGTTTGGTGAACTATCAAATTGGGTTGATCATAAACATATTTATACAGATGGCTCAAAAAATGATTCAAGTGCATCTTTTTCTTTTTACGTTAGCTCTATAAAATCTGGTTTAGGTTACAAGATAGACAAAAATTCCTCTGTATTCACTGCAGAAGCTCTAGCAATTTTGGCTGCTCTGAAACACATAAAACACCAAAATCAAGGACATAAAAAATGGCTAATACTTAGTGATAGCATGAGTGTGCTCAAAAACTTAGAAAACAATAAATTAAGTGCAAACACCAATTACATTATTCATGCTATTAAAGAAGTCTGGTATGATCTATACAATGTTGATAATATAATTGTAAGTTTCATGTGGGTTCCGTCTCACATTGGTGTAACAGGTAATGAAAATGCAGATTATCTAGCAAAATCTATCAATACTCTAGCTACTGAAACCAATACTCAGAAGATGTCTATACCTTATACAGATTTGATTGTTCTGCTAAAGGAAAGAATGCACCAAGAGTGGCGAGCCCATTGGAATTGTATAGTACAGGTTAAAGGTAAAGGTCTATGGTACACACCTCTTTATGTTGATGTAAACAAATTGCCATGGTTCTGCAAATCAAATAGCTTTTTGAATAGAAAATTCTATACGACGATTTTTCGCTTGGTTTGGTCATTGTCGGCTTAATTTCCATCTCTTTCGGTTGCAAATGGCGAATAATGCTCAATGTACTCATTGCAATTCCCAAGAAGAAACCCTAGCTCACATTTTCTTTGACTGCCCATCCTTCGGCATTCAGCGCCTTGTGTTGTTGGATGAGCTAATCCAAATTTATGGCAAACATGATTTGGTCCCGCGTTCCTTGACCGATCTTCTTGTAAATAATTGTACATACGTTCCTCTGTATAATTTCATTGCAAACACTGTTGAAGAAATATAAATATTCTGTAATATCGTTGTGTATTAGATTTTAAGGTTAAATGTTCTGCATACACAAAACGCTCAGTTAAGTTTAATAGGTACCGCATGTTCTCTTTCCTTTTATTTGTTTGAAAAAAATGTTTATTTTCGTAATTTTGCTTGTAGGTATTCTTTTTCGTTTAGGTCGTCGGTTTGAAACAAGTTTGAAACGTATCAAATGTCGTTGTTTTAAGTTTGTTTTTTCTTTTCTTAAGTTTTGTATTAGGATTAAGGTATTGCATGGTATTGGTCTATGATTTATTTTTTGTGTAAATGTGTACTATAAAAAAGATATTAAATAAATATGAAATTCATATAGGATGTAATTAATTCATGATTGGACTGTCTAGTAAGAGAAAAAATTAAATGTTTGGTGTTTAAGATGTTCAATGTGCTCGGAAAAAAGCACATAATAATAGAGTAAAACAAAAAACTAGAAAATATACCGGAAATTATCAAACTGAGGAAGTTATATTGAATTTTAATAATAAAAAGAAGAAAAATAACTAATGACGAGGCAGTATGGTCCCAGACCTTAGCCTGTCCGAAAGGACAAACGAAAAAAAAAAAAAAAAATCGTACTTTAACGGAAATGCATAGATGACACCTGATTTTAAAGATTACTCTTATGCATTAACTTGAAAAACAGGCAACTATCCGTTAATCTACATGCTCTATATACCTGAATCTAATCCATAATTTCGGTACTTGGCTTGATTTCCCTAGTTTACTATAAAACTTATTTGTTTTTTATCATTTTAATATGTTCAGTGTATATGGTTTATAGAAGTTGTCAGGGGTGTCCGTCAATAATATTCGTTTCTACAGTAATTTATATATAATTCCGAATCTAGGAAACAATTTTTCATGATTATTGGTCTTTAGGCCAAACATGTATGGAAGCTGAGCAATCTTCTTTTATAATAATATGGCTGAAATGAGTAGTCTTTCACAAGGTATGATGTGACCACGGGAAATTGAGATTAATTATAAGTAGTATATAAAAGATAACAAAGGTTTGATGTGAATATCGTTCTGTGTGTTAAAACTTGAGGATTCATAGAGAATAAATAATAAATATTCCTAACACTCACACCAATTCGCAATCGCAATGTAAGCACAATAAGGTTTGTGTTATGGGATACAAGGGTAACGGATAGATTACATAGACTGATACATATTAACTATATTTATATAGAAAACCACATAAACATCCATGACTTAGAGAACAAACGCTCGTATTCATCATACAAACACCTGCCCCACCTTTTTCTGTGTTCTGTAGCCCCCACCGGGATTCGAACCCCGGGCCTCTGAGTAACACCTTGAAACTCGTACATACATACCACTCGGCGACGAAGGTCGAGAAAACTTGTAGGTCAGCAAAAGGATTTTAATAGGATATTCTGATATTATTTAAAATATATTTTCACGTCATATTTGGTTTCACAGTTGCTTATCATTCCATGTTTTATTAGGTAATTAAGTTGTATTTATCTATATCCATATATTTATCGAGATGGAATACTTAAATTTTGGATCTTGATTTCGATAAAGGTATAAAAGCGTTGATTTCACGTTTTATCTGCATTGATATAATGGATTTATTGTGTTGACAAATGAAATACTAAAATTTTAAAAAATGATTTTCAAAGTGTTTGCAGTTGGTGTAGCATTACTTTTTACTGGTGAGATGTTTTATTTTTTTATTTTTAAAAGGGTAAAAGATGATGATGTCTTTAACTGTATTCTACCTACAAAAGTGTGTCATGTACATAATGATAATTTTCCAAATAAAATATAGATATAACTTTATAGTTATCATTATCTAATTGAATAGATTTATGGAGAATATATATACCGGGCGTCCCACGGCTACGGCGGAGGGAAAGTATATTAAATATTGAAGATAGGATATTTTACTGAAAGGAGACATCGTTTTATTTTTAATAGTAACTATAACTGCATTCACAGGTTTTTTAAAAATCGCCTGCTACAACTGGGAATCAAACTCGTGAAATTTCGAAAAAATAAACACAACATATTTTATGATAACCATCGAAAGGGTTAATCATAAGGATTATTTTTTGCTTAATAACATAGCATTTTAAATGAAAGGAATGTCTTATTACGTGATAAAAATAATAAAGTGATACACAAACTGTAGTACGTATGCATTTCTTTTTGAACTCACAGTTACAATGCGATTGGCTGAAATTTGTAAAAATAATTTAAAAATGGAACACATAAATTTTCAAGTGTCTGTTGTTTTGTTTTTTGTAAGTTTCATTTATTTTCTTATTTTTTGTTAATTTACTTACCATGGGGTATCAAAATAAAATGGATTTAATGGAAGCTTACTTAATGTACCACAATGACATATTAGCTTTGCGGTGGTACCGCGAATGATACCCTGATAGAGGTACGTACCTTCTCGATATGTGTTTAAAAGGTTAGTGGATACTAACGTTTTGATATGCGCTTACAGAACCACAGCAGCGGATGATAAACGTCAATGATGATGAACTCAACATTTTAACTTACTTTGAGGCGTATCCGATTTTATATTAGTTTGTGTTCAATAATTTTAAATAAAATTTTAAATTAAATTACTTTTCTTTCGTTTAAAATGCTATGTAATAACATGTAATAGAGCAAAAATTAATCTTAATGATTAACCCTTGCGATGGTTATCATAAAATATGTTGCATTTTTGTTTTTAAATTTCACGAGTTTGATTTCCAGTTGTAGAAGGCGACTTTTTTTAAAATCTGTGAATGCAGTTCTAGTTATTATTAAAAATAAAATGATGTCTTCTTTCAGGAAAATATCCTAACTTCAATATTTAATATACTTTCCCTCCGTGTGAGGTAGCCGTGGGACGCTCTGTATAGTCATGACTTAGTGGACAGTCTCTCTTTTAATTTTTGTAATTATCCCCTTCCAATACTAGAAACTACATAACTTTTTAAATTTTGAGCTGATTTAATAAAATTCTACCTAATATAATCTCACTTAAGCTATCGAAAAAAAATATTGATTACCCATCTTATATAAGATTCTTAGTTAATATAAACCAGTGAGCAGTTTATATAAACTGCTCACTGGTTTATATTAACTAAGTACTTTAATTATTTAATTTAGCGATAATAATAGCAAAGCCAATAATAATCATAGGCTTTGGTATTATGTCGTTATATAACTTGGTAAATGATCTTCGTTTCTCGCAACTGCGACTACCTTATGTCACAAAACAGGCCTACATTTTCGATAATAAAACCACAGTTGAGGGATTGGGGAGAACATACAAATTACTTTTCTTTTCAACAAATTATGTATGAAAAACAGTTTGTATTCAATATTTACCTTAAACTTTCCCTTCACGCTTTCTTAATTCATGAAATATTTGTAAACTAAATAATATTGCCCATGCTAAGTCACATCTAGAATACAAGAGCGTTTACTTACATCCGTGGTTGTCTAGTGAGGCAAGATTTCGATGGAACCCTCTTATTAAGTTATGATATTTTTTCATTGCTTAAACTACTTTACACCAACCGAATGTATGTATAGGTAATTCGTAAAAAAAATCAACCACATTTGGTCCTGCGAGCCGGATTTGGTTTAAAAGCAAATCACGCGTGATTGACATGATTTTGTATTTTAGTTCATTTTCGTGTAGAGATGAAAGATTATTTAGGCATAACTCATAGAGAACTGATAAAAAACAAGATAATTAAGTAAGTTATCGGTCAAGAGATACCTATAAGTGATTCAAGTGATTCAGATATCGTGGCAGCCTTTTGAATTTAAACGAGTTTTACAGTGCATTCTTACCTAATATAATATAATGTAGTAAAATTCATGAATTTTTAATGACTAATTTTCAAATAATAAATTTAGGATTATTTTTCACCCAACCATTTATTAACAGGTTCAGCCGAATCTTACGAAATTCAAATCAACAATCTTCTATATATGCAGCAAGGATTGGGATGGCCTCACTCATTGACTGTCGTAGTAGGTCATGAAGCGCTGATGAAGCTCACTAAAACCGCAACGAAACAAAATACTTGTGAAGTTATCACTCCTTCGGGGCAAAGCTTTATGTTGACTTCACCACCTAGCGATCGGTGAGTAATAAATATGAATCTTTAACTTACTCAAGAGAATACTATGATTTTTCACCCTCACTGCGTCTGCGTGCGACGTCAAAAACTGCTGAATGGATTATAATATAATAAACTAGCGGCTGCCCGCGATTGCGTCTGCGTGGATAAATTGAATTCCCAAACACACTTTCCCCCTTTTCACCCCCTTAATTGATGATTTCTGGGATAAAACTATCCTATGTGCTTGCCCGGGGACTAAAGATATAAATATAAATAAATGATTAAAGGCATGTTTAAGGTCAAACAGACACTTTCGCATCATAATAAGGATGTAATACTGTATAAGGTGGTACATGTCCACAGGACACAGAAAGAGGTTAACAGGACCTTGTAGGTGGGGCAGGTGCGCCACAGTAAAGTGTGAGCAAATGCTCATAACGTAATCAAAACTTGGTTCTTATATAAAATTAAAAATAATAATCTTTATACATATAATTCTTCTGTGAGTGTGTATGTCACTGAACTTCTCTTAAACGACTGGACTGATTTTGATGAAATTTTTTGTGTGTGTTCAAGGGGATCTGAGAATGGTTTAGATTCACAATTTTGTCCGCTGGACAACCCCTATTTTTTAGGGCGGTACGAAGTTCGCTGGGTCAGCTAGTACCTACATAAAATTTACGACAAGTAATTAAATTTGTTTATTGCTTTTTTTTAAACGAATAAAAAGAATGGCACTTGTCTAGTCTAAACGTCACTGGTATACTTATACTAAAATCTAAGTGTACTTTGCCTTAACAGGATTATAATTTAACAGATCAAGTAATCTTAAAATCTGTAAGTAGTCTACAATGTTGCGTATCAGGTGATTTAATTAGAATAGGTACTAATTATTGTAAAGATAACAATAAATCAATGAAGTAACGGTGAAACATAGTTAATTGAATAGACGATATTATTTAGACATATTAATAATTTGTAACTTCTAATAAATAACATCATGAAAACTATATCTTCGCATTTGGAAAGGAAGTTTTATCTTTTTTTTTTCTATAAGTAGTGCTACATTATAAATTCCAATTTGTAGATACGAGGCATGGGGTACCGGATGCGGCTTACGAGTTCGTGAAGTCCACAGCGCAGATACCGGCCGTTGGCGGTTAACTTCTACCAACAGTACACAGTCTTTTACTGGTTGGATCGAAGTGTATGTTGAAGGTCAGTTAAGAATCCATTGTAGCCTTTTAAACAAGTTTTTTAAGACTTACCGTGCTTGAAAAGAAAAGAAAATGGAATCCTATATGAGTACTATATGATACTTTGTTGTGTGTCCGTCCGATGTCCACCTGTCAAGATCCTTTTCTTAGAAACGCTTGAATGTATCTATAATGCATATACAGGATGTAAAACGACCTTCGACCGTCATAGCCAAAAAAACCACGCAATCTACCATCATCGGGACCTTTTTTGTCTTCTACACAATACCAGGGAAATCAATAGTTATGAAGTAACTAGCTGCCCGGCGAACTTCGTGTCGCCTAACAGTCGATGAATGTTATAGTGAGTCAAACTTAAAAGATGTACATAGTGAGTCAAACTTAAAAGATGTACATATGCTGTCGCGGACTTTTTTATAGCACTTTTAAAGGGCATCAATTCCGGCATACATGATTTTTGTGTAACTTTAACCATTTACGCAGCGCACGCAACGGAAGCTTTTAAATGGAATATTTTTTCCCCTTTTTCATAGCATTTTCATTGATGCTCCGCTTTTACTGGTCGTAACGTGATGTTATATAGAACTTTTCAAATCGGACCAGTAGTTCCTGATTTTAACGCGTTCAACCAACCAAACAAACTCTTCAGCTTTATAAAAGGTTGGAAATAAGTTTTTTCGCAATACTTGTAATAAAATCTCTTTGGCTATTCTGAACTCTAAGCGCAAAACTGATGAGATTAAAGCAAGAAGTTGAGAGCAAGCGGTCGGAATTAATCAACAGAAGGGGTGTGGTTTTTCATCATGATAACTCTAGACCTCGCACATCTTTAGCCACTCAGCAAAAATTAAGAGAGTTTGACTGGGATGTGTTAATGCATCCGCTGTATAGTCTGATCTTGCAACTTCAGATTTCCACCTGTCATGGTCTCTTCAGAATTCTTTAGGCAGTGTCAGGTTAACACCACGAGAGAACTTCCAAAATCACTTGTTGCGGTTTTTTAGCCAGAAGCCTTAAAATTTCTATAGTAACGGGATCATGTCCATACCTACAAGATGGCAAAAAGTATTCGAACAAAATGGCACCTACATACTTTAGTTAAATGTAAATAATTGTAATTATTACATTTAACTTAAGTGATTTAAGAATTTCACTGTGCGTGTGCGTGTCTTCTGTAAGGCGGAGGTAACTTTCCCAGAGGCACTTTAATTCGAGCAGAAAATCCGCTATCATCTACTCTACCTGTCTATCTTTCTGTTCAGAAAAAGTATAATGCTGTGAGCTTTTAGTTCATGACCTTGTTAAAATCTGCCCTCATCAAACATCTTGATCATGGAATTCTTACCCTCAATACTCAGATAACAGTGCTACCCTTGCAGGGATAATTGCGTAAAGGTGAAGATAATTAGGTACTTCATACTGACTGTACCTAAGTATCTCGAAAACGTTAAAATCATTATAAGTGAAATGTAAGTATATACCTATGTAACCTGTTACATACATACATTTCACTTATAATGACAATACTCAATACCTGTATTGAATGCGTAAAAATGAACATTCTGTATTTTGTTTTTGGGATTGAATATAAGTTTGCATAATTTATTAGTTTCAATTTTTGAAGTACCTACCTACTTAGGTTCAATATAATTTGTCTTATCTGAAGATTTTACTTCGAATTCATGAATAAATTACTACCTTTAAATTACTCATAAGCAAATAGAAATAGGTATCTTAAATTTGTGTTTCATTTTGCAGAAGACACGAAGTCATACGAAGCTCCGCCTATATCTCTGTTGGATGGTGAAGTACATCCCCATCTGGACCTAACTTCACTGGACAACTCCTATTGCTTAGTTGCCCAGCCTTTCTCACAGAGCTCCTTAGTTTCTGGCCATTGCGGAGTAACATTAGATAAAGCCACACGTGCTGTTCAAGGAAATTGGAATATCCTAGTCGGTTTGCCGGGTAGAGTGAAGGAATTGCATATCGACAGGCGGGTGCAAGTTGAGGGTAAGTCCATAGTTTTATTTTCTGATTTAACAGTTCGGGGCTTTATGCCCATAATACTTACATTAAAACAAAAGGGGAAGAAAAAAGATATGGCACTCGCGGCTCAAAAGTGAACCGCTGAAATTGTGGTGCATGACCACAATTCGTTTAAGTCACAATTGGACATCCAAACACGATGCATGTGCATTCAATATAACAATGTTGCGTATATTCTATGTTATTTTTTTTTATTTGGCTCACAAAACTAAACACAAAGAATATACATGTAAATATATGCATACAAAAAAATTTCAGCTCCGACGCACGACCGGAGTTTACACTCTAAAAACGATTGTCTTTGAACAGCGAAAAAACAAAATCAAGTCCGAAGAAGTCGGTTACAAGTAGAGATACCTTAGGAATCGTCCCATGTTTTCGACTATCATAGGTTCCATGTCATACATTTTATCATCTAACATCAGCGATATTCATCATATATTTTGTTATGTATTTCTGGAAACACACAATTTCAAAAATATCACACACTAGTCATCATTTTGTAAATATGTATTATAATTCCATCTAAGTATACTGAAAATCACTATTCCAGAGTGCTGGACACTTACCGGCATTTCTCTATATTCTGTTATTTATTTGTTTTCATTAATATTGCTCCGATTTTATCTATTTTTAGTTTATTTATTTTATTTACATTTGTGACAACATAATGTTTTTTATCCGTTGCCATGGCTAAAAGTGAAAGGTGCGCAGATGAGGTTGCGCACAAAAACGTAACGAGGTCATTAATCGATAGATTTTACTCCTCACATTTTTCTCATACCGGGCCCCTTATATATGCAAATCGATTCTTAAGGAGTAAACTCCAAAAACATCAACTACTTTGCAACCTACTAGATGCAAGCACAACATGCATTTCTAAAACTACCTAACTACTAAGGATATATACTAAAGGATAAATATAGCATATATAGGTTAAACTCTATAACTAAAAAATTCAAGTGAAAGTTAAAACTAAAAACTAATAAAACCATTTTCTGGTTGAGGTTTTAGAACCTTTAAATATATCGAAATCATTTCGATCATTGATCCAATATGTGAATGAATTGAGTTCTTTAAATGTTGAAAAAATTATATTGTTTACATTGCCCTATTGTAGGAGTCTGCCAAAAGAGGAAAATTTATTAAGATATAAATTAAATATGCTTTTATTCACAATGTGTAAAAGTGAAAAATTTCATGTTATTGACACTAACAATTATGTTAAGAATTTATATTCGACCAAAGATAAATATTATCTTTCTAATTATTATAAAAGACAGATAGCTAAGTCGCTATCATGTTATTTTTATATAACAGCCAACTACTTGGCTAAACAAATTGCTTTTATTGAGCAATGTTCTATTATTAACTTGACAGTCAGTAGCTCTTCTACTGACAAATTAGTAAATAATAATTATTGTTTAAATTAAATAATGAGACAAAAGACAATTCCTCTTACATATTAATAAATAATAATTGTTATAACTTTCATAAAAATATTAATTTAACCAAAAAAAATCCATCCAAAAAATTAAAAATCAACGTTAACTTTATCAACCTGATGCATATAAATATTCAAGGAATGATGGGTAAGGACTTAGAAATTGAATTATTTATGATTTGTAACAATATAGATATATTTTGTATCACAGAACATTGGCTTAAAAGTCATCAATTCATGTTTAATTTTAATAATCATCAGGTTGGTAGTTCGTTCAGTCGAGAAAATGCAATTCGCGGTGGCTCTTTAATTTTATTAAATAATACACTTAAATTTAAGGAACGTAAAGATATTGTGAGCCTCTCGGTTGAGCGAACAATAGAAATCGCCTGTGTGGAACTGGACCGGCTTATTGTACTGAGTGTATACAAACCTCCTTCAGCATTGTATGATTGTTTTGAAGAAATTATGGATGAAGCTATAAAAAAAATTGTCATCACTGGTAAACAATTAATTGTTTGTGGTGACTTTAATATTAATCTATTAGAAACCTCTAGTTTGAGTATTAAATTAAGAAATCTATTTCAATCATATAATCTGGAAAACTTGTTCATGGAGCCTACTAGAATAACGGCCACTTCGGCCACTTGTATTGACAATATTTATACGGATATAATACCACATATAAAAGAAATCGTTAATCAACTAGATAGTGATCATTGTGGTCACTTGATTACTTTTCCACATCCAAATAAAAATCAGTTAATCGTATACAGCGTTTTAAAATTCAATTAGATAGGAAGTTGAGTTATTTAAAGTATAAAGACAGTCCAAATGAGTTGTATAATGATTTTTTAAATATTTTTTGTAAAGAATTTAATGACGTCTTCGTTTCCAAAACCATATGTGTTAGTGATGCAGTAACCTTCAGTGAGTGGGCCACCCCAGGCATACATAACAGTAGAAGAAAACTTTATGAACTATACAATGAACGCAGCATTAATACTACTGAAAGTTTCAGAGAGTATGTACGTAATTATTCTAAGTTATTTAAAAAGGTATGTCGCACAGCTAAATCAAATTATTTAAGTTATAAGATTAAGAATAGTAATGACAAAATTAAAATGACATGGAACATTATAAACAATGAAACTGGAAAATCTAAATCTCGAAATACCAGTTTTAATTTAAACATTGAAAATAGAAATGTTACATCAGATACTGAAGTTGCTACAGCATTTGAGAATTTTTTCACTGATATTCCAGTTTCAACTACAAAATCCTTGGACTCCTCCCCCATTGCTGCTGAATCAATATTAAGAGAAAACATAAAACAAGGTACTAGTCAATTTAAATTTAAATATGTTAACTCTAAAGACATAATCAAATATTTTAACCAATTGAATAAAAAGAAAACCGCGGATCTGTGGGGTAACTCCGTGGATGTTTCTAGATCAGTAATTGAGACAATAGCTCCTATTCTGGCTAGCATTTTTAATCAATGTGTTGACTGTGGTGTTTTTCCTGATCTAATGAAACATAGTAAAATAACTCCATTGCATAAATCGGGTAGCACATCTGACCCCACAAATTTTAGACCCATATCCGTGCTAGTGGGTAGCTTTAGTAAGATTTTTGAAAAGATTATGCTAGATCAAATGCAATCATATTTTTATAGCAATAACTTTCTGCATAGTAAACAATTTGGTTTCACAAGGGGTCGCTCAACAACCGATGCCGGTGTTGAGCTTGTACAGCAAATTTTTGGTGCCTGGGAGAACTCGCATGATGCACTTGGTGTGTTTTGCGACTTATCAAAGGCATTCGATTGCGTTTTTCATGAAACATTGATGAGGAAACTACAGCACTATGGATTTAGAGATACCACTCTGGATCTTATTGTATCATATTTGAGTAATAGGGGGGTTTGTCGGTTAAGATGGGAGTTCCGCAGGGCTCAATCCTTGGTCCTTTCTTATTTTTAATTTATATCAATGATTTGCCTTATTTTGTAAAGGATAACCATGAAATAGTATTGTTTGCGGATGACACTTCACTTTTGTTTAAAATTAAACGTAGGCAGTCGCAAATTGACGACGTGAACAAGTCTATTTCTAAGGTAGTCCACTGGTTTAACATTAATAATTTACTGCTAAATGAAGGGAAAACTAAGTGTTTGAAATTTGTTTTACCTGATGTTAAACAGGTAAAAACGAATGTAAATATAAAGGATCAAAATGTGAGCCTTGTAGATACCACAGTGTTCTTAGGAATCACACTAGATTCAAAGTTGCAATGGGGCCGACATATTGATAAATTGTCGAAGAGACTTAGCTCTGCAGCATATGCTGTAATGAAAATACTTCAGTTAACGGATATAGAAACTGCCAGATTAGTCTATTTTAGTTATTTTCATAGTGTAATGTCTTACGGTATTTTACTGTGGGGAAATGCCGCCGACATTCAAACAATATTTGTGTTGCAGAAGCGGGCTATTCGATCAATTTATAATCTTAAAGTTAAGGACTCCTTAAGAAATAAGTTTAAAGAAATAGGCATAATGACGGTTGCATGTCGGACGGTTATATGTCAAAAAAAAATTAGTTTATTTACTAAAAATAGTGAAATACATACACTTAATACTAGAAGTAAAAATAAGTTAACTTTACCTGCTACTAGGCTCCACAAAATTAATAATTCGTTTAGAGGCCTCTGTGTTCGCTTTTACAATAAAGTCCCAAGCAATATTCAAGAGTGAAGCCTGACTAAATTTAAATCGACTATTAAAAAAACTCTTATTAAGAATGCTTATTATAAAGTGTCTGATTATATTACAGACAAAAATGCTTGGGTTTGAACTATTCCAACCATTCCAACGGGTATTTCTATATGATATATATTATGAATCATGTGTTGATGATACTTCTATTGAAATTGTTGTTGTATTTAAAGCTGATTACGTAAGGAAGAATATCAGACTATTTAAGAAGATTTGAATGACAAAACGGCGTGGTCATGATTTCTCCATTGTTTTTGCTTTGTAATTGTTTGCAGTGTCCTACAGATAAATGACTTTAAGTTTAAGTAAATATGTTGTGGTTGATATAGGTGGTTATGGGTAGTCATGCTCTCTTAAAAGTCTCTTCGGTGGTGTCGTGTGAGGCGGGTTGTTACGTTCCCTAAAATATGGTTGAGCGAAGAGATGGCTGGTTCATGCGTCATGCTCGTGAACGGGTGCTGCCAGCGGAGATGTGTCTGCCCTAACTACTTTGATATTTAAGATGTAAATGTTTAATTACACCTATTATAAATAACTCTGTTTGTATTTATACTGTGTGACACAGCAATCAAAATGCAGGTGAACAATTAATGTATAATTTCACATTATGTAATGAAGGGTGACTTCATGAATCATCTCTGAAGTCATTTTTCAACTTGACGACTCTGTAAATGATAAAACAGGGAGAAAAAAACAGCCCTTGCTGAGTTTCTTGCCGGTTCTTCTCAGTACAAGGTCTCCCGCCGTAGATTTACGAACCGATGGCGTAGCTTCTAGACATTCATATGTGCTTGTAACAGCCTAAACTGAATAAATGATTTTGATTGATTGATTGATTGAAATAGCATTATAGGTTGACAACATTCTATAAAGAGGAGAGTGATTCCCGAGTCTTGTCTTACAGGGGGGCAGTTTAAAGAGTTATGAAGATAATACAACGCCTTCGATGCTTTTATAAAGAACACAAATAGTTCAAGATCAAATAACAAATGCCACTGCAACACTTTTTATTCGTTAAACTGTAAAACATTATTTTTTTCAAAAATATGGTTTGTCGTGAATGTTATTTACTAAGTAATCGCCAATTTGTTATCAAGAAAAGAACAACAATACAGCTCAGCTGTGCAGACTCGCCTTTCGCTCGCGTTGAATTGAAGCGTACAGTTCTGTCTCGCTCTCTCGATTGAATGTTTATTCACAGACGTGTGCCGTGTGCGTGTGTGAATTGCTTATGTAATTGAGTCGGATCATTTTTTATTTGATGCTAGTATGGGCGTACCGTATCTTCCCTTTTTGTTTTAATCTAAGAGCTTACCGTATCTTCCCTTTTTCTACTTAAGTATTAAAGGATAATAATCCTACTATCCTAACCTACTAATATTATAAACGCGAAAATTTGTATGAATGTTTGTTACTCTTTCACGCAAAAATGGCTAAACAACTTGGATGCAATTTAGCATATATGAAATATATATCCCGAAAAAACTGTAGGTTCCTGTGGGATTATAAAAAACAAACTGATTATAGCGCGGATGAAGTCGCGGACAGAAGCTAGTGTATTAATAAATAGCTTCCGTCCGCGCCTTTGTCCGCCTTATAGTTAGCATTAACGGTTGAAATCAATAAATTTGAGCGCGTTAATTATATTTTTTTTATGTTATGAAAACACCAACAGCTTATCTGAATATAATATGTTCCTACACAACATGTTTCGCTACCAATAAAACAGCCTCAATAACAACAGTGTTTTTAATGGTTTCAAATATACATTGTCTTTATCTTGAGAAAATGTAGTTTTATATATTCTCATAATGCAGTGACTTAGCTTCTTGTTGCATAATGCGGTACGAATTGAAATTGTTGCTGTCAGAACCCAATTCAGGTGTAGTTTACGGTGTTAAACAAAATTGCAAAAAAAATATGATAAACTTTCACTGTAATATTGAACATTCAGTACGAATAACAGTGTTGTGTTTATTTTGGATTTGTTTGTTTAATATTTTGTCAGGTAAACATTAAAATAGTTATTTTTTTATAATTATTAATAAAATGGTACAAAACATACACAAAGGTAAATATCAAGTACACTAGTAGTAGATCTAATTCCGTGGATAACAATATTAGAGACAATGGGTCCTTGGGCCCCTGCTGCTAGATTATTTCTTAAGGATATGACTGCTCGCTCTGTGTGAGGCTAAGGTGGACTCAAGATCTGGTAGCTTTTTTGCTCAACGAATTAGTTAGGCGATACAGCGAGGCAACGCTGCCAGCTTCTGGGAACCGTGCCACCGTGACAGGCGAACTCAATGATATATTTAATTTATAATTATTGTTGAACCTTTTCTTGACAATAATATTTATTTATTTATCTTTAACAATGTTCTACAGCGATTTTTGTGAATGTAATACAATAAAATATAACTACAATCTTTAGGCTCTACAATTACAGAATTTATTGTGTACACATTAGATACTAACGGCGTTACTATATACGTATATCACATTTATTATTAAAATATAATAAAAATCATATAATCAACTAACATAGAATTAAGTTGAGGTTTGAAAAGACATTACAAATGACAAAAAAAGAAAAACGAAAAACAAACACTAAACTGGTAGATATTGCCTAATGGCATTAAGTCCGCCACTTGTACACTCATTTGTGCAATAAAGTATATATAGGTGTACCTATAAAGGTTTTTTTTTTGGGAATTTGACACATGATAACTTTATGAAGTGTAGGTGTGTGTGTTTATGCAGCTGTAATCGCATTATTATTATAATACTATTGTATTGTTATACTGTTAAGTTATGATGACTTTTTAGTTATTAATTATTGTTATCATTATATCTCTTCGCGTCGTGCATGACTAGCCCCCCTAGCATGACCACAGCGATGTGATATTATAGCTCGGTTTCATCACGCTCAATTGTCAAATCGCTATGGAGTTTGACAGTGAGACGTGTTAAAAACGTTATGTATTGTAAATTGTGGTGCTCATGCTACAGAGACTGAGTAGGGTAGACAGAAAAAACAGCGCCACTAGGTACGGTCCATACACATAATAGGGGTGATGACGGGGTACAGTAAACGAAATTCTATTTAGTCCGTCAGTTAGATGATCGAAAAATAATGGACAAGTATTTTTTCTTTGGGCAATCAACCAAAAAATGACAAAGTTATAGCACGTCAAAGTTTGGGAGTAGGGGCTCGTGACGTCACTTTTGAGTGAATTTTCCCTGATAAGTGTACTCAAACGTGACGTCATGCGACTTTTCAAATAAATATATCTCTGCAATGCTTATAATATGTGAAAAAAGAAAAAATACGTGTCCAATACTTTTTGATAATCTACCCGATAAACGAAGAAAAAAAAAATTAGTCATCATCCCTATTATCACTACCTTTGCATTACTGACTTTTTCCATACACGCTCGCCTGTTTTCGTTTTTTTAACATTTGTTTTAAGAACCTGCGCTGCCTTAAGCGGGAGCACGGAGGGGACATCCACTCCGTGCTTCCACTTAACTCAACGCAGGCCCTAATAAGTCAGAATGGTGTCTTTCCTCTACTAGAGCTACTTTTCTTCAAGTCTTAATGAGAGAAAAATATAGTTAAACTAATGATCGTCAATTGAGCTTATTTATATTTCAGCCGAACGTCTCGATGTTGGATATGTATATGATAGCAATACTAACAGGGTCCACCTCTATTGCAACATTTTGCATACAAAGAAAAATATCACCTTTTGTCGCTTCCAAAAAACTACAGATACCGTGGGCTTTAATGTTATGGAAGGCCTTAGTGATGGACTTCGCAGGTAAAGATGAGATTTGAAATTTCCAACTATGGCTTTATAGCCCAGAGTTGAGGTTGTAGGACCAGAGATCTTTCTAGATTAGGAAAAAGTTTTTATTTTTTCTTGGTATATTGTGAAGCTTCTAGCCTTTGCGATGTGTACTGATGAGAAGAGGTGCGATTACATGAAATAGATATATATATAGATATCAATCTGCACTGGGTCCGCGTTGCCACTTCTATCTATTTTAACCATAAGAAAGGTCTCTGCCCCAGTAAAGTAGTATTCTCATAGCTAAATCTTTGATTTAAACTAGTTTTTTTAACTCACACTTAAAGTAAGCACTGATAGGCTTGTGCTTAGTGGATACTAGGGTAACGGATAGAATACAAATATATGTTACATATATAAGTTTATTTTATGTAGAAATACATAAAAACACCCATGACTTAGTTATAAATGCTCATATTCTTTATATTAACATTTCCCCAACTGGATTCGAACCCGGGACCTCACGAGTGGGCGACACTTTGAAATCTACTACCACTACTCGGCCAAGGAGGTCGTCAAAGACAAAGGTTCGATTTTGTTAATAATCATGCAGCATGACATGCATTTAGAATTATCACGCTCCATAAGGGTACACAGTTTGCTTGTTATTCGCATCAATGAATACAACTAAACGGACATAGAGTTATTTATTTCAGTACTTATTTAAATAATGTCATACTGTATGATCGTTTAGGGACAGCTAAAAGTACGTTCTCTTTTATTACGGGAACTTTCGCAATTAGAAGTACCTTAGATGCTGTTTCTGAGTCTTGAGTAAGATATGTAGAGCCTGCGTTTTAAGTCCAACTGGAAATTATTATATAGCACACGTGAATGTGTCGGTTAGATTTTTCCGTGAAGTCTCGTGATTCACAATCAGGGTGATGACGAGGTAAAGAAAACGAAATTCTATTTAGTCCGTCAGTTAGATAACCAAAAAATAATAAACACGTGTGTTTTCTTTGGTCAATCAACCAAAAAATTACAAAGATAAAGCGCGTTAAAGTTTAGGGGTGGGGGCTCGTGATGTCACTTCTTAGTAAACATTGTACCAAAACGTGACGTCATGCGACATTTCAAATCAATATATCTCTGTAGTGTTTTGATTATGTAAAAAAGGAAAAATACGTGTCCAATACTTTTTGATAAAATAAAATAAGGTACAAAAACCTTTTTAAAAACAAGCTTTTATTCAAATGCGCTAAAAAGAAAAAAAGAAAATTTAGTTAAAGTTTGTTTCTAAATAGATTTTCAGATTTTTGAAGTCCGCCATATTGGATTGAGAGTGACGTCACATTTTTTTCGAGTTACTCTCAGCAAGCCCTTTAATTTGATACCCATATTGTAGGAATGCATTAAAAATGATTGGTCCGCCATTTTGGGTATGCCGCCATATTGGATTTAGAATGACGTCACACTGTTAAGCATGCATTGTCATCCGAACTGAACGAGCATACCAAATTTCAGCTTAATCGGTTGAGGGCAAGTGCTTTAAAATTGAGTTGTAAGATTTGACCGTAACAAACATACATAGCAAGTTAAATAAAAGCTTGTAAATTACCTGATACACGAAGAAAAAAAATTTGGCCTCATCCCTATAAGAAAAAAAAAACTTTATAAATAAGATTTATTTATTACTTTTTAACTTCTATTTCAGTTATTACGGTGATGGGTTTGTGCACAAACAATGCGGTTTGACTATCGAGAAACCTACGGATCAGGATTTCGGTACCTGGCGCTGTTCAGTCGGCTCACAATTAAGAGATGGCAACACTTTGGTACCGCAGACACCTATGCAGGCCTTGATTAACGTACCGGTACACCACAATAAAGGTAAGGAAATATCTTACCTACATCTACTTCATTAATTCGGGATTTATCTCTCTCTGTCGCATACAAGCATCAATCTTTGGCGATGAAGAGGTAACTAACAATCTCGAGTCTCTACAATTTATTTTTATTAAGCGCATTCTACCGACTATACTACGGCGAGTGTTCTGAGGAGTTATTCTCCCTTATCCCTCCATCACCTTTTCTTCTGAGGACCATGCGCGCTGGCCTACGTTGCCACCGACTTACTGAGGCCACTATTCCTACAAGAACAAAGAAATTTGGTGACTAATTTCTTTGTCTTACTATTCGTAAGTGGAATTCTTTGCCCACGCACGTGTTCCCTCCTTTCTGCAATCTGGGGAGCTTTAAGAGAGGCGTGAAGAAGTAGTTTTGCAGGCCGGTAAGGTGAGGATGGTTGGTGTGGCAGTTTATAACTGCTGTACCAGCTATCTTCGCGTTTGGACTTTATCACCACTTAACATCAGGTGGGGTAGAGTCATTTGCCTACCTGGCTATATACGTGGGACGCTCAGAAAGTTTTGAGAAACTAAAAAACAAATCTTTTCTGAGAAGAACCGTCCGCCAGCCTCTATGCAAAGTTTCATGCGTCTGAACCAATTTTCAAAACATTTTTTCCAGTCCTCCGCAGAGACACCTCTTCCACGGCCTTCTCAAACGCTGCTAGCGCTTCTTCCAGCGATGAAAACTGTATCCCTTTGAGCTGATTTTTTATTTTAGGGAATAAAACGAAGTCATACGGTGCCAAATCAGGACTGTAAGGAGGGTGTCCCAAGACTAGAGATGAGATTTTACCCGGAAAAAACCCAAATGGGAAAATATTCGGGTTTTTTCATATTTAGCGTATGTAGCATCGAGGTAATGTGGAGATACATGTATTTATCAAATGGTTAGTACTATTACAACTAGTTAGAGCTAATCTAACATCTAACAGGTAGTAGCAGTGGCGTACGCGTTGGTGATCTATCTATCTTACACGTTATTTTGGCTTCGTACTGTGCGCACTTGTGTTAATATGTTGGTTTAATTGACGACTGGGATTTTGTTTTGTAGACTTCTGAAGACGTCTTTTTGTTGATAAATTAAACTGCTGGTTTTATTTTATGCTGAATCAGGCTACACGTTTTGACGTTTCGAACAACAAAAAACAGTCGCAAAGTATGTGCGCATCGCAAAGTACCAGTGGCGTGGGGTGAAAAACAAGAAAGGTAAAGCCGGATCAAAAAAAAAACGACTAACGCGTGAATAAGCAAAATGTCATATCTTATAAAAATACATGCAATAAATTACTTACCTTATAATAGTGTGTTAGTACACCTTTCCCAAAACTACAACGAAATGTTAGGTATGGTGCTTGCGTTGCGTTGTATGCAGTTTTTTCATGCGACAGAACATGCTTGCTGTATAGTTGTTAGTGTTCACCACCTTCACCATACATGACATCACTGGTATTATATGTGTTCATATAATATCAGTGATGTCATGTATGGTGGTCATCAACATGGACTGTTGTCCTTGTTGATTATGATAAAAGTGGCGTTCAAAAAACCGTATAAAGCACACGTCACTCATACACAGATTATAAATAAATATATAGAAAAACAAAGAACCAAAATATGGGAAACTTGTCAGCATCATCATCACAAATAAAAACCAGCAGAAATACCGCTAATTTATTTCTATTCTACGTACATACATAGTATCACGTCAGTAAGGGATTTACGGGGTAGACAGAGCCGAATGCCATGGCCACGTTTTATTTTCGAACATGTTTTGAGAATGAAGTTAACTCATTTAATAGGAAATCTTTGAGACAACAATCTATTTGTACTAACGCCACCACTCCTACGTGACGGCAAGAAACAAAAATAAGCAAACAAACCTATACGGTGAAATAAAACAAACACTATACGCAATACTTGGCAAGTAAAATTTCACTACTTTCGATTTTGTTAAACTACATATATACCACAATCAAGCTAATCACTTATCACAATAGATAAATTCGCATTCGAATCCGTCCATGCGAATGCGCGCGAAATAATGGCCTCACTACGTCAGGTCAACAGAGCCGAGCGCCAGGTGTCTGCGATTGGCCGAAAACTTCAAGCTAAACGGAGCCTTAACACATGACAAATAAAGATTGCAGGCTATCTAAGATCGGGTTATATCGCTGTTATATCGACGATTGGTTGCATGTGGTAGTAATGTGTATTTGTGGGTGAATTGCTTACATTTTATTTATTTAAAGTCCCAATAAGATAAGCGGCTTATCCAGTCTACTACGGCGCGGATCTGTGTGCGTATGCGCGATATCAAATGATTGCGTATTTTGTATTTATGGCGCAATGTAATTATGTCGCTTGCATTAACGTATACGTCAATGTTCGCTTGTGCTTGAATGTAAATATATTAGAGTCTGGCAAGAAAAGCCGGCAGAAATCGTGTTCTAAGGACGCTTCGCCACTGCAAAGTACCTATTTTTCGCTACATTTGTTCTAGAAATATTTTTTTTAAGATCGTGATAATTATGTTAAATAATGAAAATACCCGTCTATTGGATTTTTTCCCACATAAATACCCGGTTTTTTCCCAAATGGGAAAAAACCTGAGTTTTTCCCATTGGGTTTTTTCCCACTGCCCATCTCTACCCAAGACTCTGACTGGTGTGGAGTCCAGGAAGTCCTTCGTGTTGATCGCAGAGTGCGCAGGCGGAGAGGTGAAGGAGGACCCCGCGGAGCCCGATGTTAGGTCGCTTGTTGCTCATTGCAGAAAAAACTTCTGTCAGGCATTTTGTGCTATGATTCGGCGTTGATGCTGCTTTGGTCTCGAAGTGGAATTGAAATTAGGTACCCGTCAAATTTAAGAAACTAGCGATCAAAATTTTCCCTGCGCTCCTCGATCGCCGACTGGCGCTTTGTTTCTGGATCATATCGATAAATCCAGGATTCGTCACCTGTCACAATATCGTAAACGCGCCGTGACGAGCCTGCATCAAATTTTTGTATCATATCACTGCACCAATCCACACGGGCCTGCTGTTGAGCTTCGGTGAGGTCGTGCGGCACCCAGCGAAACTATCTTTCTTACGCAAGGTGCTCGTGCAAAATCTTGTGAACACTTCCTGAACCAATCTGCAGAGTATGCTGAATCTCCTCGAACGTAATTCGTTTGTTTTCTTGAATATTTTTTTACTGCCAGCACATTTTCTTCGGTGACAGCCGTCGTAGGACGACCACTACTTTGTTCATATAGTCCCCAAAGTAAGACGATCGCGTTTGTACTCGCTAAACCAGCGGTAGATGGTTGCTTTTGAAGGTCCTTCATCCCTAAAAGCAGTTCGAAATCGATCAAATGACTCATCAGGTTTTAAGCCACATTTAAAATCGTAAAAAATCATAGCACGAAAATGTTCTTGATGCATATCCATTTTTTAATGAGACAAGAAAAATTTAATTGGCCCTCGAGAAAATGCGGAGGGAATTTTGAAAACCGGACAGTGGTATTTTTACTTAAATAATCGAAGTTTTCAAAATAATTATAAGTGGCCAGTGTCTTATACATAAAAACTTTTTTTCACGTAATTTTCTGAGTGGCCTGGCATATAAAATAAAAACTTTATAGAGAGACGGAGTTTTTAAAATGATTCTGAGTCGATCCAACTGCTTTTCAGAGGATGATATTCTGAAGGACCATGTTCGCAATCTTTGTAATGGGATTGGATTAGTTTGATGAAAACTGCCTAAAAATATTGTTATGTGTGTTTAATTCGAGATGATGTATAGAGAAAACCTTAAAACTATGTATACTGTAGAGTTGAATTTTGCACCATTAAGAAATCAAAGGCGCACCCTCTATATCTATATGTAGATCCTAGATATATTATTATTTTATATACATACTTCTTTAACTGTTACAATAACGGCATAAATGTTTTCATTGTCGTGATTCGTTTCGCAGTGTCACACCTTTGATGCTAATCCAACGATAAAACTTTGTAATAAATGACATCCATTCATTTATTTGTAGCCTCAAGATTACGAAACGAGGCGATAAGTAACGACGAGAATGATTTGAGGACTATATTCGTACAGGAGAATATTAGTTTTACGATACCGTGCCATGCTGAGTCTTCTCTGACTTACTGCTGGTTCTTACACCCTAACGGCACCCAGTTCACTCCGCTCCCTCTCACGCGAGAAGATCAACAATTTTGGTAATAAAAATACATATTTCATTTCAGTTCATAAGTTACACTATGATTGTAAAAAGGCAAAACTATAGATGTCCCACGAATATACAGAGCAATTCTTTGATGACCACCGCTGTGGAATCTTAAACCTTTGTTTTGAATGTGATATATTTGAAATCTATCTATCTATAATAAAGATCTTTGCTTCTTGACGAAATCTCTTCAGTTTCATTACTTAAAACTACTCGAATATTCACCTAACATACCAGTAAAGTTAATTCGTGATATACAATAAAGTAATCTAAAAATAAAAAAAAATCTAAATAATATATATTTCTATATAAATTTACTTATATATGTACAGTGTATGTATTCTATCCGTTACTCTCTGGTATCCCATAACACAAGCCTTACAGTGCATACTTTGGGGTTAGGCTAATTGGTGTGAGTGTTGGAAATATTTATTATTATAATATCCACAATCTTCTTAGGTACTCGGGTCAAAGTCTTCAAGTCGGCGATTGTGGGATAACCTTCGCGCATGCCCAAAACAAGGATGCCGGTGAATGGACATGTCATATGGGCGCTAGAAACAAACTGGGTTTAGAATTAACGGACAAAGTCAACGTTAGGGTCACGGGCCCCTTGGCTGCTAACAAGAAAGAAATCTTTGTATCCGTTGGCGCAAATGCCACTATACATTGCCACACTTCCAATGGTAACAGACCGTTGGAATACTGCAGATTTCTGAGCCCTAACTTTGTAGGCATCAACATAGATGACACCGTTACCAAGGAATCGTAAGTCTAGTTTTGATTATAACGATCTAGGTACTACAGTCCGCCTTATCAATACTTATCATACATACTTTCAGCCACTATTTGACCCTTATGCATGTCTTATTATTGCGACAAAAAATCGGTTGTCTGTATAGTCGGTTTACTGACGATAGTTGAACGTGACAACGTTTTTTACAATGTACATAGTTTTTACAAGTATGAATGTGCACTTTTTACTGCACTTAATACTTGACGAAAACATGTAAATGTATTATTGTATGGCAGCTGTCCACGCGGACGCATCACTTACTCAAGTAGGAGAGAGACAGATGTCGAACGCCGCCGAACGCGGAGGCCGATTGTGCCTCTTTGTCGCTCGTTGCGCGCTCTTGCTTGCACTTCAAGCCTTAAATGGAAGGCCTCAGAGCGAGGTAACGCCACATGAGTCATGTTTTTTCGTGCGTGCAACCGGTTCCATCGAATTATAAGACGTTGTCACGTCAAAAATGGCCTAAGCTCTTCACAGAGTGAACCAAGAAGATACACTCTGTATTATTACCAAAATTTATTAAAATTGTTCGCATAGTTTAGGCGTTAAAGCATAACAGACAGACAAAGTTGCTCTCACATTTTTGTTCCTATTAATGAAAATGGGAGAACAAGCCTGTGTCCAATCTTAAAACTTATTCTTAATCAACAACCCTTAACATTTTCTTTACTTTCTCAATCATAGGCTTCTTCCAAAAATCTCCTCCTCCCTTCTTAAGTACAAAAAGCTAATAATATTTTACCTATTTCAGTGCTATATTAGGTCGTTACTACTTCACCCCCGAGCGGTATATGAATCAAGGCGATTGCTCGCTCTCAATAACTTCCGTTCAGGAAGAAGACGAGGGCGAATGGAAGTGCGCCGCTGTCATCAACACGAACTCTGTCGAGTCTAGTGACACTGCCACTTTGTACTTAAAGAGCGGTAAGTTGACTTTAATTTTGTACTAGAAGTCCCCTGCGCGGTTTCACCCGTGGAAATTTATGTAAAAAGATTGTAGTAAGTTATACTTAAAAGATGGATATTTATGCTGTCGTCAACTTTTTTTATAGAGCTTTTAAAGCTTTCAAATGGAATATATTTTTCCCGTTTTTGCAAAAAAATTCGTTGATGCTCCGCTCCTACTGGTCGTGGCATGACGTGATGTTATATAGCCTTCCTCGATAAATGCACTATCAAACACAAACATATATTTTCAAATCGGACCAGTAGTTCTGGAGATTAGCGCGTTTAACCAAAAAAACAATCAAACAAACTCTTCAGCTTTATAGTTTTTGTATAGATAGCGTGATTCAAACTATGGCGGTTGTGAAGCTAGCAGCTCTAGAACCAATTCATCAACATCCCGCGCACATCCCACATCATCCAAAATATCGTTTACTGCGCCGTGACTTGCATTAACTTCAAAGCCGCCATTAAGTTTGAATCGCACTCTAGTTACTTCGATATTTTAATATATTTTTATTTCAACATTTAAACTTTTATTAGAGAAAACGCCGATAGCCAAGCTTTTCTCTCATTGGCCGGAATGTATTGTTGTTGTTACTCCGGCCAATGAGAGCCCGTATGTCGTAGGTTTTACCCTTAATTGAATGATAAAGAAAGAGCATTACTGACTCGTTTCTATGAACGTTTTTCATTTTATAATAACAACTGAAGCTTGTAGTTTATGATAAATTCTCGATAGTCAAAGTGGGAAAACTCGAATTTCCTTAAAAATCATAAAACACTTTACCATAAAATGACTGGTGTTAAAATTGGCCAATCTTTCATATTTGTTCCAGATCCTTCGAGACAGTGGAGTCGAGCTGGTATTACGGGTATGGCCATTGGATTGTCGTGTCTACTAGTTATATTAGGTGGAATTTTGTGGTACAAAATTGGTCGACCGTTACCCTCCCTGTTGAATTGGAATAGGAGACGATCGAGCCAGCAAAATATCAATCAGCGATCTTTTGACACAGTATCGTATTCAACTAATAATGATGTTGTAAGATCGAGTGTGTTGACAAATAACAGTGACGATTCTGCGACCGCTGTGAATAATCCATAAAATTAATATAATAATATTATCCACGCGGACCAGGCAGCGGACGGGACTCGAACCCGCACCCTTCGCAATCCGGGCGAATGCACTGACCATTATGCTACCACGGCCCTATTCGCCGCGTCGAAATTTTCCTAGCCTTAAGTATATAAATTTGACCCACTTAAGTCTGTGAGACTCTACGATTCTTTATCTTTTGGAACGCATCGTTTTATTAGATATGTAGGTAAATACTAGCCACCTATCCTGCGCAATAAAACAATACAATTATTCACCATCAATAACATAACCCATCAAAATATTTCTTAATTATAAGCCTGATATTTTGTTATATTTAATTGTACATACTCGTATTGGGTAAATTTAATTTATAACTTCAGTACAAATGTTATGCGTTGTGAGATGTATGTCATAGATAATATTTTTTGTATTGGGATTAACTTGATCTGACATAACATATGAATAAGTTATCTAGTTATTGTCTTATGAAAACATTATTACATCTGTATTGTATTTATTCAAAAGAATGTTATAAATAAAATCTGTTAACAAGTTTTTATGTATTTTTACTCTATAGGACAGAGCTCTTTGATACTTTGCTAACCTAGGGCTTTATTAATAATACATGAAACTGGCAAAAGCGAACCGAAGCGGACGCGTCACTTTTAGCATAGCTACTGAAAAAATAGTATTACTTGTTTCATTCATTTACGTGGATTGCTACGGAAAGGACTACTATTTGCATGGCATGCATGGGAAATATTTCTGCCTCAACACGAATTTTGACAGCTCCGTAATCGTATCCTCACCATCACATTTTGTATGGAAGAAAAAGCCAGTTTGTTCTTACGTCCGATATCTCCTTAGTTTTTATAGAAACTTTGACGATACGATACGATTACGGTTGCTTTCTTGCTGTCTTTGTGTTTGGGCCTTTCAGCCGTTTCATATCTGTTAAAGATATCTATAATGTGTCCCAAAGTTTATGCCTGCCAATGTTTCGAGATAAAAAAAGACAACCAGATGTTAAATGAAAAAGCAACATTTTATTATTTCGTAATCTTATAACAAATATTTACAATTAGTTATTTTTAAACTAAGACAACAGTTATAAATTTCCGATTTTCTCAAACATTTTAAAATTTCGATTGGACATTACAGTTTTAGATTATGCGCTTAAATGAAATGCAGTCATTAACAATATTATGTAATGCTTAGCAAAAATATTTATGTAAGTACTTTTGCAAAAACTAAGTTAAAACAGCCGGGCAAAATGTGGACTTGTGCATAGCACCCCGGAAATATCTGGATATTGGACGAATCGTAACCCTAGTCGTAACTCAATTATAGTAACTTTGTAACAAAGAAAAAACTTACAGATTTCGGTAAGTTCAAATGCAATACAATTTGCAAAATTAATGAACTAGGAAGGAATGGGGTCATATTTTGTATGACATATTTGATTTAAAAGATTTGTTACCAAAAAAAGTAGTTTTTTTATATAAGTGTAAGTGCTTGAATATCACAGAATATTTTTTCAATAATTATAGTAAATTAATTTTGTAATTACTATAAGAATTATATATAATTTGTTAAGGAGTTTCTAGACCCTTTGCAGGGCTACATTTATCAAAAAAGTATGGTTAACGAATTATTAATTATTGAACGACTTTATCTTGAATCTTTGATGAGGTAGGTAGTATCTAGCTAGTGTATACTTTTACTTATTTAATTTTAAACTGGATGTCATTTTTGTTTTTTGAATACAGTATTTTATGCAATGTAGAGCGCTATTTTTCTCCGTCCATTGGTTTGGGATCAGGTAAAGAGTTCATGGTACAGCCCATGAATTTATTACAGATATGTATGTTCGGAGTAAATGGATTTTTTCCAATAATGTGAGACGTTGTGCTACACTTAATAATACTTTCTCTTCCGCCAATCCCAAAAATATTGTTATCACAAATGTTTTCTATTTTACAACAAACCCACATTAACATATTTCCTTGACGATAATTTAGTCTAATTTTTATATGTACTTATAATGTTGGATTTACAGTGTTTCTTTGTAGCCAATAATCATTTGCGATATGGGGACGCTCGCAAAGAACTTGTTGATTGCTTTCACTCCGGTCACGACTATTTGCTTGATCGCTGGAGGGGCAAGTTCGTCCATCAATTGTTTCCAATTTTGGTTAGCGAATTGGAGTGTTGTGTCGGCTGCAAAAAGGTAATTACATAGAAAATAATATCTATATATATCAGTATCTAGTATTTTATAGTGATTTTACAACGGGAAATCTGCCTGAATAGCTTCTCATTTTTTTTTCTTTGACAAGATCCCATCAACAATACGTGCTTATTGACAGACAGATAGGGCTGAAATATAATCAGACCCTTTATCAAAATCGTTGACTATAATTGCATTGCATTAACAATAATATACATATTTACGTAACTCACCTAATTGCTTGTTTCCATTGAAAAGGTTCTGTAAATCGAATGTAGTTAGCTCAATGTCGTATTTGTAGGTGGGTGTGGCGAGTTTCAAGTGTTCACCTTTGTTGTTCTTGAAGTGCGTTAGTTTACTAGAGATTTGCACTTCGACACCCTCTGAAAAAGGCGGGAAAGATTTTCAATCGATTTTACTAAAGCTTGCTTTAGGGGTAATACACGTAGGAGCATTAGCTATACTTTTTTGTAAAAAAAATACACCTGGGTGTATCTGCGTGGCTGCTGGTAATGTTTATAACGCATTCTGCTTGACATCTTTAGCATGGCAAAAGTAAGTTCAAGTTTCAAGAACAGGTAAATCTATTATATTGGGCGAATAAATATTATTTAAAATCTACACTGCATAACGCATACATATTTAGCTACATCACACAAGTAAGTAGCGATAAGTCCACAAATGAGGAGTGACTTTTCAAAAGGCCGTATTTCCATTTTTAATCTGTGATCAATTTTCGTCGGAATCTAGTTGGCAAGGCTAAATAGCACCTATTTACGTAAATAAAACGATACAGAAAGCCTTCTGTCCTATCTAAAAATGGATACCAATACAGGTATTTCTATCAAACCAGGCATAATTCCATGTATGAACAAGCGGTTAATTCAATTTAAACAATACGCCACATTTCCTTCATAAATTTGTAGTATTTCAAAGAAATTTAAACTAAAGGGTTTATTTAATGTTTATAAAAACATGGCCAAATCTTTTAGAGAATTTGGACTTAAGCCTGTCATTTATATCATACTAGCTGTGCACCGCGATGTTACCCGCGGTTTAGTAGGGATATTTATCCACAGTAAAATGTAGCCCGTTTAGACGTGAAGAAGTAACAAACATATAATGCGATTCAAATAAGAATAGGAAAGCCAATGACCTCCATCTGTCAAATGTCGCATGAAAAGTACGGTTTGCAAAAAATGTCGGAACACTTTTTTAGTCCTCGGCTAATTCTAGATTAAAAACCAAACAGTTTTAAACAAACAATAACAAATATTGATAATTAATATTGGTTGATATATTTTTTCATTTATTGAGCTTTGCCTATGGATGGTTGATAACCTAAATCGTCAACCAAATGTCACTTTATGTTGACTAGATTTTGATCGTTTTTTCGTTTACATATAGAATGCATGTTCGTATGTTCGTATTATTTATAACTTCTCCGGCGGTAATGCAGAGATGAGCGAAATTGAAGAGTTAGATTCTGATTAATGTTTTTTTTTCACACAGTCTTAATAAATAAATACTATTAAAAATCGGTTGTGTTCTTTCTCAACCTTAGTAAATTAATTTCATTTAAAAAAACTGATGTTTTGTCTCACTTAATCTTAGTAAATAAGTTTTATTAAATAGCAAAATTTTTTTGCTCACTACCTATTTGGTTTGAATTGATAGCTATGACGTCAAAATATGGCGTCCAGTCGGTCCTATTCTTAGTTGAATCGCATTATACACACTCACAAACTTTCGCCGTTATAACGTTTGTGTGATTATTATTAATGTCGCCCAAATTATGATGTTTTCAAAAGGCCTCTTTAACAAATCAGTGTTAAACAGAAAACCATATTTCCTATGGACGTCCATATAAAAGGGCTTGTTTTCAAACAATTTATTTATTTTAAAAATCAAGTATCACTCACGTTTCACTTAGTTTTTTTTTCCACTATATAAATTCTGTTATACCAAAGAATATTAAACTGAAGTTAAAAAACAGAAACCGCGTCTTTTGTTATAACCACAGCAATTTTCAGTTTTTGAAAATTTTATCTAAATGGAAATGAGGGTTTTTGAAAAGTCATTCAAATATGCTTCTGGGTGAAAGTTTACTTAGGTAATTCTACCTAAGTAAACTTTTGGAATCTTTTGTGTTGTTTTGCTGAAGTTAGGTATGCAGAGCTCAACCTGTAAGTAAGGTATCGTCGTATAATAACGCTATAATAAACCTATTATAGCATTATGACAGAATGATGAAGTAGCCGTTTTAAGGTTGCCGCATACATACTCAAGTTGTATAGTTTCCAAAGTGTCTAGTGATAATATTTACTTACGTGCATATACAAAAGCATCCCCTTTACCCTTAATTGGTAAGATTAGGATGCGGCCGTCAACTTCGTATTTTGCTTTTAAGGTAAAGTTGCTTTTGAACGACAAAGAGAATTCTTCATCGACCTCGCCGAGGTTTATTCTGAAAAAATGGCCATAGATTTATTTTTAAATAAATGAAATAATAGTATATTACTTTGATACTATATTACTTTGATTTTGATTCCAAATACATCACAATTGATTGATCGGTTTAGCATTGAAAATGTAGACAAATACTCAGAATTACTTATTTTGAATTGATTGATGATTTGAAAGTTATTAATTAATTATAATATTATATGCAAAAATATAGTTCAGAGATCCAATATATTTGACTACCTTTGTGTATTATTCAATAGAAATGTAGGTAAAATTCAAAGAATGCAAATGGGTAAGTATGTATTTAGATATCACAAATTTAAAATCAACTTTACTACCTATTAATCAAAACCATTTTGTATCTAAATTAATAATAAACAGTGCTTATTAAAAATCTATTGACGAACTACCTACGTAGTTAAGGACAATCATAATTAGCATACAATGTGCAAACAATACAAGTGTTGCGTAAGTACATTGTAAACTAACCACACAATATTTAATTGATAGGCTCTGATGCATAAGTGAAGCATTTCCGCTTATCGAGATGTAAAAGGGGCTATAAATTATTACTTAGGTGCTTGTTCAACGGGAAAAAGAGAACAATTAAACCTCCTGATTGTAGTCTAATTTGTGCTTTGTCTTTATATTATAATAGTTATATGCATCCTGCATTTCATAGTTTCTTTGGTAGTAAAATAAAATTAAATAAAGGAACTTAGACAATTTTACAGTAGGTACCTTATTCATGAGAGTTAATGCAACCAGGGCTGTAGCCAGAGTAATATTAGATAGGGCAGCGGTAATTACAGGTAGGGCATAATGCCCCGCCACCCCCCTAGCTACGGCCCTGAATGCTATCAACTCCATACCTACTCATTTGTTATTGTTATCTATACGCATTTATTTTATTTTATGTATTAGTAACAGGAATTGTGTCAAAAATCGATTCCACTGAACCACTATTGAGACCATATTGAAACGATTTTATAGGCGAGTTGCTGTTTACTTCCGTGGTAGTAGCAGCGATTCCCGTAGGATATCTAAAAATATCCTATCTCAAAAATTACATTTATTCAGTCTAGGTTGTTACAAGCACTTGTGAAGGTCGAGAAGCTACGCCATCGGTTCGCAAAACGCGGGAGACCTTGTACTAAGAAGAACCGGCAAGAAACTCAGCAAGGGCTATTTTTTCCCCCTGTATTATTATATACAGAGTCGTCAAGTTGAAAAATGACTTCAAAGATACTTCTGAAGTCACCTTCCATAACATGATTTAGAATATAGATGAATAGTTACAATAAATTTTATAGTTAACTTCAAATTTTAATATATAGGAAGCGGCATCAGATACCACATTACTATTATGTTAAATGACTAATACCCATTAAATTACAAGAAATACTATGTCCATGCATTAAGTTCATTTAGATAATCATCAACTTTATAATAGCCCTTACTCATAAGAGTATTCTTGATCTGAGGTTTAAATATGGTCAGAGGAAGCTCAATCAAATCTTGGGTTACTTTATTAAACAGTGCAATACTACAGCCCAGACATGAACCTTTTGATTTTTGGATTTGCTTTTATTTGCAAATGCGTCATAGTTTTTTCGTATATATATTATCTATACTTATAATAAATCTGTAGAGAGGTCAATTCTGTACATGAAATATATTTTCAAAATAACTATCAGGGGGTGATAAGTGATCGATACTGATGCCAAAAATGCAATCAGTAAAATTTTTGTCTGTCTGTCTGTCTGTGTGTATGTTCCTTATAGAGACAAAAACTACTCGACGGATTTTAACGAAACTTGGTACAATTATTCTTCATACTCCTGGGCAGGTTATAGTATACTTTTCATCACGCTACAATCAATAGGAGCAGAGTAGTGAAGGGAAATGTTGGGAAAACGGTAGAAGTTACTCCATTTTTTAAGCTTCCGTCGCGTGTGGAGCCTTAATGGTTAAAGTTACATAGAAATCATGTATGACGGAAATATTCTACATAATATTGTCTAAAAAATATCCCGCAACAGCATATGTCTATCTTTTATGGTTGACTCACAATAACACGTGTAACTCCTGATAGCTTAGCAGTTCGGAGCATTCTGATTATATTTGTTTACTCTTACGTTTATAATACTCTCACTCATCCCTTATTTAAAAAAGTTAACATTATTACCTATTCAATAAAAAAAGAATCATAGAAATCGGTATAAAAACACCAAACTTATACATGAAATAAGCCATCGCGCCGTCGCACGTGAATACTGAATCATGCTTTAAGGATTATTTTTGTGTAACGGCTGCCGCGCTCGACACGGGTCGTGGCGGCGCGGTAGGGTATAAAAAGGCGGGAGGTCCGAAAGCGAGCTTCCCCGCCCCCCCGATCCTGAGAGACCTTCAGTCGCTCAGTCCCAAACCGAAACGGATGCACATCAGGGTGCATCCGTCCTCTAAGCGACCTATGCAGTAGTATTTACTAAGGCAGCGCTGCATCATCCCCTTCTCAGGGGTTGATCGCATCAGATGAAGCCTGTAAGGCCCCTAAGGCCATAGGCACCCCCCACGGGTGTGTTTTAGTCAGTAAGAGTCTGACATAACTCTACAGCCGGCTGTAGGGTATCCATGAGGATTTCACACCCGCCCCCCGCCTGGGAGGAAACAAAAAAAAAAGAAAGCGAGCTTCATTCAATATTTGGCTGTTGATGCGTTCAGAGCGTTCGACCTTATTGACAGACAATAATTGATATTGAGAAACCGTGCTTATCTATACTTATAATAAATCTTAGAATAAAAACCAAACATTTGTAAACAAAATTAGCAAATAAATCATGTAAAACGTGTAGAAAATGAGTACTGGAAAACGGAAATATGAGAATTTTAGTTTGGTTATAAATACAGGTAATAAAAATGACCGTTATTATCTATATATGTATATAAAAGTCAAAGGTGACTGACTGACATAGTGATTTATCAACACACAGCCTAAACTACTGGACGGATCGGGCTGAAATTTGGCATGCAGGTAGATGTTATGACGTAGGCATCCGCTAAGAAAGGATTTTGATCAATTCTACCCCCAAGGGGATAAAATAGGGAATGAAAGTTTGTATGAAACTTTGTCAATTTTAAACCGATCGGGCTGAGACTTTGCATGCAGGTATAAGAAGAATCATAGATGAATGTCATTGTGTATAATACAAGCCTGACAACAAAAACTGTAGTCTATACTTCAGCTCTACACCGAAGCGAAGCGAGGGCGGACCGCTAGTATTTTAATAAATGTATTGCGGTGCCAGTTTTACAATATTGATTTCTTTAAAATTTTCTCAACTTTTTATAATGAATATACAATCGATATTAGCAGCTGAGCTCCACAACAAAAGACCAACAGATGCTAACTAATCATTACGACTATGGTGATACATAACTTTGTGCTGGGTATAATCTACGAACCTTATTGCAAGGCTTATCTATTCCTTATTCAAGGCTCCCGCATCATTCTTTAGGTAATGATAGCGAAGCAGAATCGACACCCAGGCCACCACGGCACTCACAGAACACGGGGTGGGGGATGGGGTCAGGGTAGGCAATAGTTTTGGAATCACAAGAGTCTATAGGCTATGGTGGCTTGTCATCAGCCAGCCAGCTTGTTTGCGACCCTTTTATCATTATAAATCCTAGGATAAAATGAAAGGCACTGCCATTTATTCACATTGTAACATACGTCAATAAATATAGGTATAGATTCGAGTTGCCGTTTACTTCCTGGGTTTTACATGTTACTTGTAATAAGTAGGGCTGGAACCGACTCCGTATATTGTTAATTTAATGATGAAATGATTTAAAAGCTGTATGTAATGGGCGTTTATTTTATCTTGCTGACTCTATCTCTCTTAGAGTTAGAGGGGAATGATTTATATATAGGTATGTAAAAAATATTTTTAAAACTCGTTTAGTTAAAGTGGAGTTAAAGTGGAATCATTTTTGGAGTTAAGCTTAGATTTAAACAATTTGATCTAAGGAGTTAAGTGGAATTTTGGTATTGGTTTTATAAAGTATTTATGGATTTATTTTTGTTAAAAAATATTTTTTTTTTCACTTCCTATAAGTTACAGCAACATCAACTAAGTTTAGGTATGATGCGAACATTCTAGAAATAAAACTAATCCAGATAAAAAAGAATCAATTACATTTTTATTCTTACGACACAAGTTTAACCTTTCAAATAAAGAAACTAATTTTTAATATCGGTTCACATCACAATTCACGGGAATATCGCTGAACACACGAAAATTAAGATGCAAAAAAGCACGACGAATAAAAACCAGTCTTTTTTGTTTGAAGTACGTTGATAAATTCGGTGTTGCTAACCGCTATACAAATTCTTTTAGGGTATTATGATCTTATATTACTTATTATATAAATATATTTATCCTTAACTTTCAATGGTATTTAAGGACATTCAAACAATAAGTCTTCTTATATCGACTCAGTTTATTATCTTCATAAGCTCTGGCCCAGGTCATAGGAATGGATACATTCTTAATGATCATATCAATACCTAAATACTCCACTAGATATGCTAGTAACAATGTCCTCATTCGTATAGCACGTACATATAATACTAAATTTAGCGAACTTGAACTTTTCGGGATATCTAAACACACATTTAAACAGCGAGTTTTGCAGTATTTCAGTTAATACGTTCGGTATGCTATTACGGCAAAAATTATACTACATTCATTCTATTAACAAAGACTCGGGTCGCCGGGAGCAGTTGGTGATGGGGGACTATGTATTTGGTTCTCCATCATACACAATAAAACTAGTATTAGCTAATAAGCAATAGATCATGTCTTCCCACGTCTTAGTACAATTGTAAATTTCATAGAAAACCTATTATTAGCCTTAGTATTAGAAAGTATGTAAAAAAAAATTGTTTGGTTACGCTGTTGGTTTTCTGAATAAATAAATAAATAAATAAAGTAAGTGTAGCCGATGTTTTTATTTTTCCATTTAGGTAATTCATACCACGTGCCTTCTAAGTTAAACTAAAGTGACTAGGTTATTTATTTTTTGTTTAAAAAACGGCTTTTGGTACGAACAAGGCTTTTGGTGATAAAAGCGGCCTGTCATTCACTATAATTGATGAATACTAGTTTTTGTAACACGTAAAAAATATGAATATGTAGGTAGATACGTAGTTTATATTTATTTCGGACAACTTAGAACGAATATAAAATTGTCCCAACTAAGCAGTTTATGCTATGATATGAATATATAAGTTACCTACTTAAATAAACTACTACTATGAAAACAATAGTTTTATTATCTACCGATATTCGACAACAGGACCTCTGAAGCAAAAGGAAGGAGCGAAGCCATTACTTATCGTAAAATTGAAACCTTTATGACGAAATGGAGCAAAATAATAAACAAAAACTGTTTTTTTTACATCGCGAAGATAGGTATTCAATGTTTATCAACGTAGAGTTATTGATGCCCTTACAAAATGTCACTGCAGTACCAAAATCGAATTCGTAACGTTTGCGAGTCCGAAATGACATTGTCAAATTTGTACTGATTTTTAGTTCTCGTTACGTACATTGTGCCGCTGCTGTTCAAGTTTCCATACAAAATTTGACATTGACATTTCGGTTTGCAAACTATTCGAATTCGATAATGGTTCGTGCTAGGGGTACTGTTTCCGGTCATAGCTTCATCGAAATGAATGCCAAATTGTGCGTTCATTCTGATATGGCTAAGTTTAAGAAGGTACCTACTTCTATTTTTTATTTTGAAAAGTGTTTTTCGAAGTTATATAAAATTATATTATGATTATTTTACCGACCTTTGCGAAAGTTCCTTAACTTCCACGATCGCAGGCCGAACTCGCTAAACCACCTGCGCCAGCGAGCTCCTCTACTGTACCTATCATAACCAACCTAAATAAAATGTGATGATATAGGTAAAACAAAGCTTACTTGAAATCTGTAACTTTGCTGTCACTGATGCCTTCCATAGACGCCTCGAAGAATGTCAAATCCAAGCCATTTCCGCCGATCTTGATGTCGTCCAACTTTATCGGATCTAATGACGGCACTTTCAATTCGGGAATGCCCTTTGTGAACTTTGGGAGACAAACAATAATCTGCTCTTTCACGCATTGCGATAAATGTTTGTCAGATATGTTACATGGTGTCACGTAGGAGGCTGTAAAATAAAAAAAAAGCGTTTACTCCACATTTATTTTTTCAACATTAAAACATGATTTGAACTTAAATATTGTATAAACATTACGTATTTTTTTGTTTTCACTATAAGTTTTTATTACATAATCTATTTTAAGAAGACAATACATTTCTTTCACAGCTTGGGTGTATTGAAGGATTCAATTAACTTGTTTTACAATTTCATTTAGTATAATTATTATAATATATGAAACGTACCATATGACCTACTTTTCGGGTTCCTAAGACAAAAAGGAACTCTGTCTGCAGTTTAGCTCAGAGACAGTTAGGAGGTAGGTACAAGAAAGTTGTAATTTGGCCTGGTTAAACATATTATCACACACGCTAGCAAAGTGGTAATTTTTTTATTTTTAGTTTGTTCTCCTACGCGTCGTGCGCGAAAAGATGAAGGTACATTTCTATTTCGTCTACCTCTGATATAGAGTAAAGGACAAAAATCTCTCTTATTAGGACGCGTTATTAAGTTGGGCCTGGCCAACTACGGAACCCTACGTTGCGTGTGACTAAGCACAATTTTTTCTACAAAGTGCCTTATCAAGGACAGATAGATATATCTTCCTTTCCATTTGAAGAAATTTTCCAATTTCGCAAATCTCTTGAACGCCATTTGAACTTTTGAACTTGGGCCTACACCTTGAGTTTTTTCATTTTTTTAAGACACGTATGTTATTTGTATACTAACATCTTTACATATTTATTAATACTTTTTATGAACTTCAAATTAGTTGGTGAACGCTTTAAAAGAGAACGACAAAGATGTAAACCTATACATTGGGAGATAAAGGACATCGACGAAATCGGCCCTAGCTTGCCCAAAAGAATGTCCTTCACTATTATCTTTCTTTTATTTTTTTAACATATTAGCAATTAATCATAGTAAACGGACAATCTGTTTAAAAAAATAAAAAAATAAAGTTCTGTTACAAGATACTACAGTCTATTCATCCAACTTGGCACTCCTTTTTATTGAAAAAACAGCATTAAAAATCAACTGATAACTGGATTCAAAAGGTTTCAGTCTATAATAACGATTTATTTTAATAGTTTATTGGCTTCGTTAATATTTTATTATTAAATGGGTGATTCTGTTAAAAAGTTGTGCCAAGATTGTTTACCTTAATAAATGCATTAGAGGCGACCATAGGTATTTATCCAAAGAAAAATAGAGATACATTAGTTAATAATACTTATTACTAGTATTATATTTATAAAAAGATTATTTCTGAAATTATGTAAAGATAGTTTATACTCCCATCCCATGTAATATCTGTTTATTTTTATGAAAATCATAATGATAACCAGGTACATACCTAATTGCCGATAGTAAAATAAAGAAACAGGTAAATGGAAAGACTGAACATTTCATTTGAAAAGAAATCTATTATTACTACAGGTAAGGTATAGGTATCGTAGGTGCCAACTGACAACACTCATTAATCAATATGAATATAAGCATTTATAATTTTTATTATTAATTGCATTTTATGTTCATTTAATGCATATTATTTAAGTGCTTACATAGAGGTAAACACTAAATCTATTCAGAATATATAGTGTACATAACCTCAAAATCAAATACATTCTGTAGTAGGCCACGGTTCCTCAAGTTGTCCGTATCTCAACAAATGCCTAGTTAGAGTTTATGAATGATTCCGAACACAACTAGCATTTTCTCATTGCTGGGCGTTCTAGGGCATTCAATGTATGGGGAACGAGCAATGTCCTTTATAATAAATGAGATTGCTATGGTGCTGTACCAAACGCTATGGGAATTCTGCGCCTTTAGTTTAATCAAATATTATAAACTTTGTTTTGGTGATTGTATAATTATTTAGTTTTGCGATCTAAGGCAGTTGCCACCAGTTTCCAAAATAACAGACGGGATTTATTGCTTTCGTCAACCTGCGACATCAACATCATTGATTGGTATTGTTTATAGGGTTATTAACAACGTTTAAAGTTAACCTCTGGTATCTACATATTTGGTTTCTGTGAATTATGTAGTTAAAACAAATTATGAGGCTAGGATACGATACTGCATTTCTGTATATCATAATCTTAGAGCTGGACGTTGACAATGCAGCAACTGCTAAATTTAGATAGTCGAAGAATAAATAGTATATATATAGTAATAGAGTAAATTAATTTAATATTTACTCCTAAATTACTAAAAACAACATAAGGGGCCATCCATAAATTACGTCCCGCGTTAAGGGGGAGGGAGGGGGTCGACGAAGTGTGACATCGTGTGACAAGGGGGTGGGGGCCCAAAATTTCGTGACGTCACATTTCAAAATCTATTATAATCTAAGTATTAAAAGACGACCTTTAAACTATTACTTTACGAAAACATTAACAATCCAAACGACAACAAAGTGGCTGCTATGCCAGTTATAAATAATTTAAAGGAGTGGGTTCAATGTCCATGGACTCAAGATTATTAAGTTTGTATCTTTAATTTAAATACATATAATGCTATTAATAGTTTTTATTTCTTTTCTTTAATTAATAAAGTCAATCCTTTATTGTTTTGTGAATTGTTTAATTTGATGTTAATATTATTAAAAAAATTAAGCTTATGACCACACGACTGAAGTGAAACTTCTTTAGCTCCATCTGTGAATACATATATATATATATGTGTGTGTGTGTACAATATACAGTAGAACCCATTTAATACGATCACGCTTAATACGATTTCTCGTATAATACGTCGTCATCTTGCGTCAGTCCCTGCAACTAGAGACGTTTTCATACATTTCTTAACGCTTAATACGATTCGTCTTCCCGTTTAATACGACTAAATCGCCAACACGTACAGTATACAACTTTTGCGGCAGCGGCCAGCGACTGACGTGACGCCTGTGGAGCGACACACGCTAAGCCGCCCCCAGGGTTTTTCTGGATATTCTTCCAATGATGACAATGTGGCACCGTAGTATATATGTGAATAACACACAAGCAGAGGCCCTAAGTGATAATGATCAAGAAGAAGATGAGTGAACTCCGATTTCGTCACACGCCCGGGCATTATCAGCAATTAATGATTTAAGACGCCATGTAACTTCTTTGAATCAAAACGAGGACGCACTGCAAAAGTTGAATTATGATGAAAATCTTTTAATTGCTAATGCCTGAAAATCTTTTTGACAAACTAAAATAAGTGATAAATTTAAATAACATAATAATAATACACTACATTTTTTAAAACATACATAATTCTTAAATATTGTACATTTAACAACTTAATACCTACATTTGAAATTTCCCTATCCCGCATAATACGCTTACCCGCTTAAAACGCGTTTTTGGTTGAGTCCCTAGGAAATCATCTTAAACAGGTTTTACTGTACATATACATGTATGTACATTACATATTTTGTTTACTAGCTATAAGAGAAAGAGAGAAAGAAAATGTGCGCGCGCTCTGCTTTCTCTTGCTTATATCCCCCACTCTTCCGAACACACTTTTCGTAACGTGTAATGCATTCGCCAGCTTACCCCCCAAATAAAGCGTGCGTAAAGAAGTTTCACTTCAAAAAATTTAAATGGCAATAAAACTGATGTCGGAACCGCTGTTTTTATTCAATAATTTCTAAATGTAACTTTGAAAAATATGTGACATCACACTAGTGAGGGTGGGAGCTGCACAAATGTGACCAGCTGTGAAAAGGACGGGAGGAAGGGTAAAAAATCATGAAATTCGTGTGACGTAATTTATGGATGACCCCTAAGCAAAAGATGACTTTTTGAATAAGCACTAGTTAGGTAACTATAAAATTTACATACAAATGATATATAGGTAACTACTTGATTTAACTTCACACATCTTTGCGAAAATTGAGGCCCATCTGTGGCCTTGACCCTAGTGGTAAGATCTCATATGGTCTCTCTATATTTCTTAATATATCAAGCGTTTAAACCACAGCAAGGTACTTAATAATTCCTGCGATATTAACTCCCTTACTGAAGTGACAAGACTGCGGTATATACCGTCGTATTATATTAAAAAAAAGTGCGAAATAAAAAAAGATACATTTAAAAAACCAAAAAACCCAACTGCTTAAATATTACTTTTTTTGCTTTTCAGTTTTTATTTGAAGTAATATTAAAGCAGTCAGGTTTTTTGTTTTTTTTTTAATTTACCTTGTTTTGGTTAGGTAATTATATTAATTTTAAAAATACCACTTTTTATGTATTAAAATACAATATTTTGGTAGAGAAAAAATATGAATTCGAACAGTCGTCAGTGCATCCGCTCGGATAGCTGAGGGTGCGGGTTCGAGTCCCGTCTGCTGCCAAGTCCGCATGGAATATTAATCTAATTATTTTTTATCCACACGCAGTCTGAATTATTATGTGTAGGGCAGGGCAGGCGTTTATGAAGTAAGTAGGTATTTTGGATAAAAAATATCTACGTAATAAGCACTTAAATTATATTTATGTTAATTAGCTCCAATCTAATAATAATCTAATAATAAAGATAACTTTTTAGGGTTCCGCATTCATAGGGTACGACTAACGAGTAACTTTTTTTGTGGTTACAAAGGAACCGTATTCTGCAGACAGTTTTACTGATCGTGCTTTGTTTCGGCCGTTTTTTACAATAACAATAAAAATATATTGTTTTGATGAGTTTATAAATGAATCCAAGAAACGTGATTCTCTCTACGTTTTTGGTCGATCTTAACAATCGCTCTATCATGTATTGCAGCTATATTATTAATTAAATTCAATAGTTATTTAACTGTTATGAAGTTTTAACGATTTATCGTATTTCTTCCTCCGAGTGCGTGTCCCTCTGTGTTTTATTCGCACTTGGCCGATTTTATTTAGTAAGCAGTATTATATAAAAAAAACTATATTAAAACGTAATACTTAGTTACACGCAATTTAATCTTATGCTTGGCTTATCTATATAAGTTAGTAACAAGTTAATTTGTAGGGTTTGTTAGGGTATTTTTTTAGTTACATCATATATTAAAATTTTTTTTTTAATAATTATTAAAATATACCTACAGGTTTGTACGGAACCCTCCCTCGGTGCGCGAGTACGACTCGCACTTGGCCGGTTTTTTATTTTATACTATCTTAGATGTTCGCAGCAAAAACCAGCTTAGCGAATTGTGAATAAACAATAGCGGATGTTGACCAACAAGTTTGTGGCTGCTTTTTTTAAGTTATGTAGGTATAACGTGTATTAATAAAAATACCCGGAAACTTACTGTTTTTTTTCTGGAAGCGTCACTTGACCTATTTGGATTTTTTTTGTTTTGTATTGTGTATGTTTCTTAATTATGAGAGACCAATATATTCCATTTATTATTATTTGTAATTTGCGATCAGTGCTTGCCACTATAAGCAAATGTGTTGGGAATTCAGTGGGGTGTAAGAGTGTGTCCGTCATTAAGGACTCATCCTTATTTCTTAAAGGACGTCTTTCCTTTTAAGTGGTGTATTATTATAACTGCGAGTTAAACGTTGTGTTGCTAGTATGTTCGGGTGAGTCTTCAGCCTAGCCCGGTATTTCTGTATTGCAATGGCTAATTCTTCCTTGACTGTTTATATTTCTTGGTGTTCGTGGATTTCATTATTAGTGATATATCATGGCCAATCACTACTGGTTCGAAGGATCATATTCTTTGAATGCAAAGGATGTTAAATTTGCTAGCCGCAACCCAGAAATGTATGCCATAGATCCACTGTGGTCTAAGGATAATTTTGTATATCAGTAACTAAATAAATATTTAGAACACTCACACCAATTAGCCTAGCCTCAAAGTAACGACTGTAAGGCTTATGTTATGGGATAGAATACATATACTGTACATATCTAACTATATTTATATAGAAATACATATCAAACATCCATGACTGGAGTACAAATGCTCGTATTCATCATACAAACATCTGCCCCCACCAGGATTCGAAACCGGTACCTCTCGAGTAGGCGACACCATGAAACCTGGCGTACAAACCACCCGGCCACGGAGGTCGTCAAACACTTGTTGTTGTATATATAGTAATATATGACAGAAAAGCTGTGGAAATTCAATCGGGAAATATTGAAATTTCTTTGGTATTGCTTATTATTGTTCGACACTCCCCTTTTCCTTCATAAATAAATTGCATCTGGTTATGATAAGAAATAAACTTTTTCTTAGTCTATGTAAAGTGGAAATGGTCCCGACACATCGAATTAGTATTAATGTACCTACATAAATTTAGTTAAGTAGGTGAAAGTCATACAGCTATATCAATTAATAATACTTAATCTTAAATGATGAGTCCTTCCTAAGACATCATCATCATCATCATCCTTCCTAAGACATGAATGGAATTATTGTTACATCTATGGCTGAAGTTTTTTTGACGCAGGCAAAACCTCTATTTGCAGATGACGGCGCCTATAAGAGGCACACCGCCGAATGGACCTCACCCCCTCACGTTCCGAGTGCACTAGCGCATTATGCATTATTTTAAACTATGCATTAGTTTACACTAACGCAGCGCCGCATCATCCCCCTCTCGGGGGATGATCGCTTCAGATGAGGTTTGTGAGGACATTCTGGCCATAAGCATGATTAACGGGTGTTTTTTAGTCAGTAAGTGTCTGACATAACCCTACAGCCGGCTGTAGGGTATCCATGAGGATTTCTCACACGCTCCCCCGCCTGGGAGGAAACAAAAAAAATGGACCTCACTCCTGGCTCACGCAAGCCTTACGGGCCCCGCAGTGGCTGCACACTGTGGACCCCGTAACTCTTACGGACGCTTAAAGGCATAAGAATTTTACCTAATAAGTATAACATAAAAGTCATAGCATGTACTTACTATGTGCTTGTATTTTTTATATTTTTATTGTATGTTAACTATGTTTCGTTTGCATTTATTGCTCGTCCTTGAACAGTTAACTAACATGTATAAACTTCAGTTAAAGGCAACAGATAAAAATATGTATCTGCGTAAATTAGTTTAATAGCACATGAGTAGATTTAACATATTAATTTTTAATATTTATCAATTTATGCTTTAAAAAATAAACAGTTCACACTTGTATACTTTTTGGCATTGGTTTTGATAAGTAATTATAGTAGAATTAAGGAAAGCTATTTATTAAAATCTATTTAAATTATTTAGAGTTATTTATTTGAAAGCTGTTATAGTATAGTTTATTCATGATGCCGACTCGGAAGTCCAAACAGCCCTACCTACATTAACCTAACCTACTTTTCTTGATGCATACAGGGGTGTGGGGTCTCATATTTTACTGCATATGAGTAAGGATAAATAAAGCCTTTGTGTTAATGTTAAAATTAAATTGTTGGTACCATCTTTTGATTCTTTATATACCCCTCAGGAAATTTGATACGTAATACATATTATTCAGGAGGAAATTAAGTGGGACAATGTGTATGCGTTTATTTGGATGAATATAAGAAGCACATGAGGTGGAGATATTTTTTTTGTCTATAGTACAGCATAAGTTAAGTTATAAGTAAGGTAAGTACCTATTTAATGTAATTTTTAACTTTGTTAAGTAATGTTTGTAAGATTTAGGTTTTAGTTAGTAAATTAGAGTTTACTGACCAAAGTTTATATGGAATAAATTTACTTCTAAAGGGATATTTTTGTTATTGTCAAATATCCAATGATATCCCGAAACAAATGTTATGTACTTTGTACATAGGTAAATAATAAATAAAATCTAGTCACAGATCAAAGATCGCTTCTTGTCTCAATTCCATGTTTGATATACTTTGAAGTTTTTTTTTGTAATAAATAAATAAATATCACTTACGTAATGACACTTTATTATCCGCTAGTACAACACAGATACAGCTGAGGATCACTAAACTGAATGTGGACTGCATTGTGCGGCTCTCGACTGTTAATGTTTTTTTAAAAATTTAATTATCCTTTCTGCCAATTGTCGGTCGAAGAGCTCAGCACCTACTGTGAGGAAAGCCGCAACGCGCGACCTATTTATGTATTTTGATGAGTCGTGAGTATCGGTCACTGTTCGTTCATGGCATTTTGATGCAGAAGGTAAAGGATTTTCGGAAGGAGCCGTGAAATTTTAAGGTGCAATTTCACTTTATCCTCATTTGAATTTCGCTATAAATTATTCGATGATATACCAGTTTAACTGAAAACAAAACGAGTCATTATAAAGAAGCTAATGTATGTGCCCATGTACTGGAATACAATGTCATTATAATAAAATTCTGATATAAATTTTAGCGTGATAAATATTATAAGAACTTGTACATCGTTACATTTATTTAGATACATCTGTGGCTGCGACTTCGTCCGCGTGGATTTCTGAAAAAAGGTTACATTATTTCAACCTTAAAAAATAGACATAAATGCTGCCGTAGATTTTTTTAGAACTTCTAAAGAGAAAAAAATTTTGCAAACATGATTTTTGCGTAACATTAACCATTTACGCAACGCACGCAAAGAAAACTCTCACCAGGAACATTTTTTTCCTGTGTTTGCTGTATTTTTTATTAATGCTCCACCACTGAAAAATATTTCATTAAAAGAATATGAATGGGAATGGATAGACTAATTCAAAGCAACATTTTTTCTATAAAGTTTTTACTGATAGGCAATACTTTTCAACTTATTGGAGAGGGAGAACGTAAATTTTTCAAGAAGAAAATGCACGTTATCTTCGGGTTTTCATGAATAACTCCTTATATAAGTGATTTATAAAAAAATTGGAGTTAAATTTAAGGAAATAAAAATACAGACCAAATGATTGGTTAAAAATATTACTTTATTGAATACTAATGGAACAACAGCTTTTATATGGTTGGTTCTTCATCGTCAAACGCCAAAACGAAAGTTTCAATGTGAAATATCCAAAAAGAATGACTTTTTCGGGGACAACAAGCTATCCTATATATCTTGCCTATCAGTAAAAACTTTATAGAACAAATGTTGCAGTAATACTTTTCGATTTATTCGATTTTTTCAATAAAAAACACCCTTTGAGGCGGTTTTTTATGAGTAACCTTTATTCTACTAGTATGTCAACACAATGCTCCATGTTTATTTCTATTGTTATTCTGTCGTGGACACTGGACACAAACATTCGGGACTAAGGAATAGGAAAAAAGAGGGTCTCGAATCTTTACCTCACTTGAAAATATTTGATGCTACCCAATGTTAGAAGTGTTCTATAGTAGGTAACTGTTTCAATATTTGTTTTATCATTTCAATTCTATCCGTAGGAAAATAACACGTTTAAAATAAGAAAATAAGAAAAGCATCAGAAAATGTAATCTGAGTAAGATTTTAATAGGGAGTAGGTAAGTGTAAAAAAACATAATTTTTCTATGGTACGGGTCTTAGTCACTTTTAATGTTTTCTTCTAAAGATTTTAGGTCAGAAATTTTCTAATAGGTACATAAGTTGAACGACTATTACTCTTTAACTAATATATTTATTGTAACCGTTATAATTTTCCTTAAAATTTCATGGAAAGCACTATTATCATGAATTTTGCAGGTTTTTCAAACCAATAGTTTAGCTTTTAGAGACGGGACGCCCTACCCTGCACAAATAAAAATTAAAACTTTAGAGTTCAATATTTCGGAAACGGATCCCTAAATCGCAAAATACTCTTGGGACACCTAAGTTATTTTAATGGACTTATTCAACGACAAAATAAAATCATCTCCAGATTACATATAGGGAACCCTAAAAAAATATTTCTTATAATGTTATTCTACCATTTTGCGGCATGATTGATATACATATCTCTACAAAATTACAGCTCACTAGTGCTTACAGTCTCCAAGCAAAACAGGGGACAGACATGGCGAAACTATAAGGGTTCCTTGTCAGGACCACAGAACCCTTAAAGGGCGGCATCTTGCAAGAATTATGTTTTATTTTATTTATACTTACCATTGCACTGTTGAGCGAAATAATTATACAAACAGACGTAAGTAGGCCAAAGTGATGGGATCTATTTCAAGTTTTCGCAAAAACCTTGACCATAGTCGCGAGGTCTAGTTAAAAACAATGTACTCATATATTAACAATGGATCTCACGCGACTTGTATTGTATGTGGTACACTGAGGTTTTATTGCAATAGGTACTATAAACGTTTGATTATAACGACCGATGATTATTGCTCTTCCAACGTCTGCAAATTAATTTTCCACGTGTAGCTCTTCAACCTCTAAAGTCTTAAATACAGATTCGGGATACTTAAATTTTTGAAAGTAATTTTTCTGTAGCTTTTTGGATATCATCATACTTCTCCCACACCTGCGCGACGATGCTTTGGGTAGCTTCGGTACTAAATGCGCTAAAGTTTGCGTTCGAGAATTAGTTTTATCGTATTTAATTATCAGACTGCTTGCAATGTGTCTTTAGACGCTAGACGATAGTTTGGCTGGCGATTTGTGACACGCATAAAAGAGGTTGTGGGAGAGGATAAATTTGTATGTGCAGCTGAAGGACTGTACCCCTAGCACGAACCAAAATCGAATTCATAATGTTTGCGAGTCCGAAATGTCATTGTCAAATGTGTACTGATTTTTAGTTCCCGTTACGTCCAAAGTGGCGCTGCTGTTCAAGTTTCCATACAAAATTTGACATTGACATTTCGGTTTGCAAACTTTCGAATTCGATAATGGTTCGTGCTAGGGGTTCTGTATTTGTTTACGATCCAACTAATTTAAATTTCGAACGCTGATTTTAATCTAATATATAAAATTCTCGTGTCGCGGTGTTTGTGGTTAAACTCCTCCGAAACGGCTTTCCCGATTCTCATGAAATTTTGTGTGCATACTGGGTAGGTCTGAGAATCGGACAACATCTATTTCTCATCCCCCTAAATGTTAAGGGTAATCCACCCCTAAATTTTTTTTTCAATTTTAGATAAAAAAAAAATATGATACAGCATTAGTAAATACATATAACCCTGAATTTTCAACCCTTTACAATCAACCCCTATTTTACCATCGCGATTTTTATTTTTAATAATTTCTTTTTTTTTCGCAATTCAATTTGATCTTCCACCTTCACCGGTCGATAACCGATCAACGATCAATATATGAAATATGAAATATATTTTATTGGAACAAAAACAGTGAATACAATAAATGTGTACGATAATAATTGCATTAGTTATAAAAACTGTGTCGCAACTATTATCGCCCACCTCTGAGAGTACATTGGAGTTCCTTACATATAACAAAGTAACAATAAATATTATGAATGATTTAAATTTAATTTAACATACTTAAATTAACAAATCATTTAAATGCATTTTATGCGTGTGCGCATGGGTATGTGTGTGTGTATGTGTGTGTGTGTGTGAGAGTGGGAGTGTGATTGTGGGTGTGCAGCTTAATGGAATATGCTGAGGTTATCCTCCGTTACTATCTATTCAGAAAGTCTTCTATCTGCTCATATGTAAGCGTATATAGCCAATTGTCAACCAAAGCTTTACATTCTCTTGAAGAAAGCCTGTAAATGTCAAGAACTCTATTTACCTTGTTATACAATTTTGGGCTCAGGAATCTATACTGTCGACTCACCACACCAAGGCTGCAGGTCTCTAACTTGCACACTCTATCAGACCGACGTACTTGTTTTGTCAGGTTAGGGTCATACACCAGGGTAGCATGTTTACGCAGCACAGTATTTAACACAAAAGAGTGTCTAACCCTTGGTAAATTACAAATAGCGTACAAAGTATTTGTCGGGAAATAAAGGGGCTTACGGGACATAACTTTTAGTACAGCTCTTTGAGCTCTTTCCAATCGAAGAAAGAAACTCTTACAAGCATTGCCCCAAGCGGTAATGCAGTATGTTAAAATAGAGTGTACTAAGGCAAAATAGACGACCTTTAGTATACTGAAATCGGCGGAAGCTCGTAAATTTCTGAACACAAAAATTAGTTTTCTAACCCTTGAGACGAGGGAATCGACCTGATTGTTCCAAGACAAAGTGCTATCTATTAACACGCCAAGGTATTTTATATTATGTGTTCTAGTAATATTAGGACAGTCACAGACATAGTCCATTGTCCTGTTACATCTGTGTGCAATCAATTCAAAGGAGGAATCCGGCTGGGATGCAGCTCTGGGAGCAAAAGTAATATATTTAGTTTTCTGGGTGTTAAGGGTAAGCAAATTTGAATTTAGCCACTTCAGAACTATGTTCAGAGCAGCTTCCGCGCATGTACGCGCTTCCATCCAGCTGGTACCATGAGCTATAATAGCAGTATCGTCTGCATAGGTGATAATTTTGGAGTTGTTTAATGACATCATACATAGGTCGTTAATGTACACCAAAAACAGGGTCGGCCCGAGGACACTACCCTGTGGAACGCCGTAAGTGAGTGATACCTCTTTACTAATAAAGTTGTCAATCTTGACAACTTGGGAACGTTCGCTTAGGTAGCTGATAAAAATATCAAGTGCCAGACCCCTGACCCCTACTCTTTCTAACTTATTTAGCAGGATTGGAACAGAAACGGTGTCAAATGCTTTTGACATGTCGAGAAAGATGGCTACAGTTTTTAATTTCTTATTCAAATTTAACGCCACGTGGTTAGTCAACTCGAGCACCGCATCTTCAGTGCTTCTACCAGACCTAAAACCAAATTGATTTGCAGCCAAGATGTTGTGTGCATTAAGAAAAGTGACGAGTCTCTTATTTATAATTTTTTCCAGCAATTTGGACAAAATAGTAAGTACGGATATAGGCCTAAAATTATTTACAGTGATATCCCCTCCCTTGTGTATCGGATGTATGAGTGCTTTTTTGAAGACAGTAGGAAATTTACCGGATAAGAGGCAGAGATTAAAAACATGACAAATAATAGGCACCAAAATGTGTCGA